ATACAGCAGCGATGCTGATACCCAACAGATTTCTATGGTATGCCATTGAGTACGCTACTATACTAAGCATTCAATGTCAAGATGACTGCGGTCCTTGTCCGATGTTATGAGGGTTGTTGTTCTTAGATGATAACGAGAGTACTTCGGCGTATTTTGTCGGCTCGGCCTAGTCCAGGGGTCTTCGGGTCTCGATCTACTGGACAAAGAGGTGGAAAAGAAGAGGAAGCCCGAGGGTTGGGTGAGTTGATATGATGTTATTGAAGACTCATTAATAATTGTTTGTTCAGAGCTCCTCATCGCTATAGTGACTTTAGCACTGTGTCACAATGTGACACCAGTAGAGACCGCTGGCTCGGACGACTGGACGCTGCAGGCTCCTAGTCCTGATGAGGCAGCGCTCGTGAAGTACGCCCGAGAGTGTGGGATCAAGCTGATAAGGAGAGACGATGATTGTATAGTGAGCATATTTGGCCAAATGACGGACTTCGTACCACTCGCTGCAGATATTAGAATGCTTGAACATCACTGGTAGACCCCAGCTACGCTATGATATAGTCGAATGTCTCCCGTTCTCATCAGACAGGAAACGTATGGGTATCCTTGTCAAGGAGGAAGTAGGTGTTGCAGCGTTGACACCGTATGTGTTTTCCGACCCCAGCACTCGCCCGTCACTAAGCTATCCTTGGTCGAAAATTGGAATAGGCTTAAATGCAAATGCTACTGTGGTGTCAGATATCGGGTCAATATATGTACCTTATGAAAGGCGCGGATTCAGTGATGATACCTAGAGTAGCGGAGCATGGGAAGAAGAATGCCTATATGGAGGAAGTTGTGGACGACTATGCGTGTCATGGTGAGGCAAAACTTTGGTTGTCTCAGCAAGGGCATCGCTGTAGGATTGAGGACGTTGGTGGTTGCGATGAAGAGGATGACAAGGGAAGGCTGTGAGGAATTCGAAGCGGCATACAAGGATGCTACGTTGGATGTGAGCGAACAGAGAGAGGAAAAGCTAGCTGAGATAGTGGACCGTTATTTGGAGACGAACCTGGAGCTGGTAACTCGTAACGTCGGATGGTTGGTGTGATGGAATCTGTGGAAGGTCTGCTTGACGGGCGTTGAAGATATGCTGCAAGACGATGTGGCACCGGTGATCGAAAGCTTGCGTGTGGCGAAGATTAAAGTACGTCGGAGAAGGGTTCGTACTTAGTGATGGTGGTCATTGATACCTTAGGTATGGATGCTGACGGGTGATAAGATAGACACTGCAATATGTATCGCGATCTCTACCGCACTGAAGTCCCCTGAGCAATCGCTTCTGAGGCTGGAGGCGAGCCATGTAAGAAAGATGTTGGCATCAATAGTGGATGTTCATTATTGTTATAAGGTACACAGCGCCATCGATGCACTGGCGGATCTTCGAGAGGCTCGCAATGCTAAGATGGAGGGCCTCAGTGATACGGTGGTCGTCATTGACGGCACAGTGAGTGGCAGTACTATTAAGAGTGACATGGCGCTATCGTTGTCGTAGGTGCTGGCAATGGTGCTATCAACAGGACTTTATACATCTGAATTTGTCGAGTTGATAAAGGATGCTCCTGCTGTGGTATGTTGCCGTTGTAGCCCATCACAGAAGTCAGAGGTGGTCCGTGCTATCAAGAAGTAAGCTCCTCTGATCCCGCTCTATCCCAGCCATCTGGCTCGGTCATTATCAGGTATGATAACGGCCAACGAACGCTCGCTATCGGCGATGGAGGCAACGATGTTGGTAGGGTTGATTGCCTGGCTCTATCTCTGGTGATTATCCCATGACAAGGTATGATACAAGCAGCGGATGTCGGGGTGGGTATCGTTGGGAAGGAAGGCATGCAGGCCAGCCTTGCAGCCGATTTCAGTATCCTTGAATTCCGGTGAGTTAGTCGGGTACAGCCGGCTCTCTGTATCGTCATATGCTCGGTTGTTGTCTCAGATCCCTGCATCGGCTCCTACTGTGGCATGGACGTAACTGCTATCTACAGTCCGCCCGAATGTCCCTATTCGTCATCCATCGTGGTTTGGTGATTGCTGTTATGCAAGTTATATTCTCTGCTATGTTCTACTTCATAGCATTGCCGTTGTTCCAAGGTTGGCTGATGATTGGATACAGCACGTAGGGGAGGGATAGCATCGGCGTCACCAATCTCGGTGATTATATCGTATTAGATACTACACCACTGCTCCCGTGTTCTCACTCTGCCTCTATACTGACCTCGAAGACACGGTCGTGTACCAGTACCCGGAGCTCTATGCTATCAGTCGTCGTGGCCGGCAGATGTCTCTCAAAGCTTTTCTTGGTTGGGTATGGAAGTCCGTTTATCAGGGTTCTGCTATCATGGTGCTTACTGTTATCCTCTTTGGTAACGAGCTCATAACAAGCTCGCTTGTTGCCGTTGCTTTCACGTCACTGGTCATCAGCGAGCTGCTCAATGTTGCTTCGGAGGTCAGTATTGCGACGAGGGTTTCCCAAGTTTATAGCCCGGCATATATTTGGTAGGTCCATCCGAATTGGCATCCTTTAATGATAGTAGCGGAGCTGTTGAGCATCGTGATATATGTATACTCGATATTCATACTGCGCTCCAACTTCGACCTGGATACCATTTTCTCCATTGATTTTTTGTGGAAGGTGGCAGTTATAACAGCCGTGAGCTGGATACCGGTAAGTAGTGGAAGACAAGGCTGGCAGTAGAGTCCGTGAGCTGTGAACTATCGTCTGTTGTTGTAATAGTAGCCTGAGGCAACTCCTTCGCAAGGTTCGCTGTATTCTCGGGTTGGAATTTCGCATCATGTCAGGTCCATGCGTGGAAGCAAATTCGTCGATGCTGTTGTCCGCCGCACCACAGGAAGCTCCTCCGGGCGTATGCAAGAAATGGTGGCCGTGCGCCGGAGAGAACTCGATACGTATACCACGACCCAGACAATGATAGTGTGGAGCTCTTGGCCACTACGCATGTGTCATCACCTACCTCCAACGAGTGAATTGAGAAGGAGTATCATTTATGTGACTATTGGTTATATCCCATTATCTTTTGTTAAGTCTGCCTGGGTACTGTTCCATGTGTTGTGTTCTTTCAATAGCAGTAGTGCTTCCGTCGATTGCCTCCCTTCTCGATTTGACTATACAGCTCTTTATGTTCTTCGTGATAGAATGGGAAAACGCACTGCGGATAGTCTGATCCTGGGCTCTAGCGTTCGTGAATGGATCTACTCCACTGGAGACCTATGATGGTTCGACACTGATGGTGACCATGCAGAGATTGAGGTTGGCGATCTCCGTAGGCTACCAGCCGATTGCACATGATGCTACTACACACGGAGAGGAAAGTATCCCTTGTGCGAGGCTTAGTTTTGGAGAGGTTATTTGTCACGGAATGCAGAAGAATGGGTAACCCATTATTGTTTGGTTATGAAGAGCTCGGTGTGTACTCCAACGATCTGAGTCTAGTCCCCGTTACGTTGAAGTTTGACTCCTCGCAATCCATTACATTTAGTGGCATACGGTGTTCTTAGGTTTTCCTATGTTGTGACGCGTGATCCTGTGCCTGCGTACGACTCGAAATCAGGACCACACGCGCGCACAGACGGAGTGGAAACTTTATCGCTCCTAACGTGGTTTATGCTAAGCCTTGGAGTTTGATTCTAATCAGCTTCATACACTGTGGTGCATTAATACTGGCCGAGGCCCTATGCTGGTGTCCGGTATCCACGGCGCTCCGAGCTCCTACACGTTGCGTCCAAGATTCACTGATATCGGCTTTGTATACCGTCTAGTAGACAGTCGCATCTTCTGGCCCCTTGTGCACTACGAGCTGTGACAGGGACTTGCCAAGCACACATAACGTTCTGTGTGCGTTTTCATGAGTTTCACTCGGAGTTAATTGTGTCAGTATGTCACACACTTCGTAGAGCGGGGGTGTATCTACTGTTGTGTAGTCTGTTGCTGTAAGATTGAGAATTGGTTTGTATTGTCTATGGCCCCACGATCCACTACAGAAGCATTACCTCCTCTAACTTCTCCCTTGCTTGAGGCTGGCCTAGCCCGAGAGGGAGGGAAAGGTGGGAGGCTCACCAAAGGCAGAGTCATGCTTGTTATTACCGCCACTCTATTGGTTGTGTCCTTCACGATTTATATGACGGGAACGCCTATGCGTTATCCCCCTATTATCGAAGGTGATCCTGGTCCTTACATAGGCCGTGGTGTTAGTACTGGTCACTCGGTAGGCTCTGGCAACCTCGCGGGAAACTCGCAACAACAACTCTACCACACTGTTGATAATGCGGCATTCAGTATGACCATCAGTAGACCCAAGCTGTGTGATACAAGTGTCAATCAAGCTAGTGGCTACTTCGTTGTCGACGCAGCTTCGAATAAGAAGTAAAGTGATTAGAAATGGTTTCTATCCACAGTGGTCGCTTGAAGGTACTTCTTCTGGTTCTTCGAAGCTCGTCATTCTCCTAAGACTGCGCCGACAACATTCTGGCTTAGTGGTGGTCCCGGAGCTAGTTCAATGCTTGCGGTGAGCAACAAGCTCCTCGTGTTGGTCTTGATACTGCTCCTTAGTTACTAGCTGAGAATGGTCCGTGTACTGTGAATTCTAACGGAACTGATACTGTGTACAACCCCTACAGTTGGACCGAGGCTAGCAATATGGTTTGGGTGGATCAGCCTGCTGGTCAGCACTTGTTGTTGAGAATCCTCAATTGTATTGAGAATGCCTTAGGTACGGGTTTCTCTATTGGTGGATCATATGACGCTGATGAGAAGGAAGTTGGCGAGGACATGTATCACTTCATGCAAACCTTCTTCACGCACTTCCCTGACTACAACAAAGATGTCCACGTTGTCGGGGAGTCTTATGGCGGCCATTATGTGCCTGCTGTTGTTAACACTGTTGTGGAACATAATACCAAGCTCGCTATCGGCGAGGGTGAGACTCTGGGACTTCGCTCCTACCTATATACATGGTCTCGTTTCAGCACCAAATGGACGAATACCGATTGACATGAAGGGGATGGCCATTGGCAACGGCATGACTAACACCATTGAGCAAATTAAATGGTTGCCGAAGATGGTCAGCTTTCGTTCTGTGGATGCCGTGAGAATTGGCTCTCTGTTGTAGGCCTATGACTCTGGTACAGCTCCCTCTGTTATTGACTTTGACACCTATCAGAGGATGCAGTCCAAGGTCGATGGTATCGCTCATGACATCGCTAAATGTGACAGAACTGGCGATAAAGGCGTAAGTAACGGTCAATCGAGGCATGGTGTTATTCGACAGAGTCTTTGGCAGGTGTGCGAAGCCGCTTGGAACAACTTCACAACTGAGCTGATGGCCCCAGTGATAGCGGCAGGATATAATATGTAAGCCACTGGTAGCTGTTGGTTTTGTTGCTGGTTGTGTATATAGGTATGATCTGCGTCTTAAGGGTCGCTATGATTGGACTAATATCAACACATGGTTGAATAACCCGAAAATAAGGCGTGAACTTGGAGCTCTGAAGGAATGGGAGGCGGTCAGTATTGAAGTAGGTGGTCACTTGTCGACTCCCTCCAGTGAAGAGTGATCAGGTTTACAAGACGCTTACTCCCAACGATTTCCTACAGACCTATGATGACCTAGTTCCGCCTCTTCTGGCCATGGGACTTAAAGTACTTATCTATGCTGGTGACCAAGACTATCCTTGTAACTGGCTCGGCAATAAAGCATGGACCGAGAAGCTCCTGTGGGGTCATAAGGACGACTTTCAAGTAGCCCCTTATCAGGAGTTCATCGCCCCTGCTGTTGGACTCGGCGGTGGGTCAACTCTCGATTGCCTGGTGGTTCGAGTGTTTCTCAATTTCAGACAATTCTATTTCCGAGATCGTCGTGGGCTCCATGCGACAGTATAAAAACTTTGCGTTCCTCCGTGTGTCGAATGCTGGCCATATGGTCCCCAAGGATAAACCAGTCGAAAGTCTGCATATGTTCAAACAGTTCTTGAATGGCCGCGTGCCCAAGGCCGTTCCCTGATTTGCAATAGTACTTTAATTTGTATTTCCACCTTATGTGTGTATTATTTGTCTCGTCTGAGATCGTGGAGCACACCCCCTTCCTGTTAGTACGTCTGTGATGATCGTGATGCTGTTGTAGTTTACGGAAGCCGTGGTCAGCGATCATATACTCGTTAATTACGATTTTACGCATGGGAATCAATAATCAACTCGGTGTTGAGCTGTCAGTGTCATGAGTCTAGTGCGCAGAATTTTAGCGCGCGCCTAGCTGATCGATATACTCGATGGTTTATACACGTCTCAAGTAGAAACTAAATGTGACCCTGGGAGAAGGGCTCCAGTCAAAGCACTCTGTTGGAGAGACTAGGGAAGGCTCTATTCTTTTGAGTCGATTGAATGCATAATTCGGCAGAGCAGAACATCATAAGATTTCCAGTTCCAGAATCCAAGGCCAGGACAAGGTCTCCTACCCGAACATCAATGGACAGGCCTGAGGTGTTGGGTGGGCCACTCATAACCTTATAGTACTCTCCGTGGTCAGTCCAGTGGAGGAGCGGCTCGGGTTAATCATCTTCGAAAGAATGGCTCAGTGACACCGACTAATCAAGCGGGTAGAGGACCGCCTGGAGCCCTCGGCAGCAGTGCTGACATCTCCGTGAACGGAGCGGGCAATAATGGGGGAGGGTCTCCATCAGCTCCTCCCAAGATACGGGTTACGTGCAGGTAGTCATGTCCATTCGCGGTAACTAAGTCGCTTGAGCGGTATGTGAAAGTAACTACTCGTTGTTGAAGAAAGTAGGAGAGTCAGAGTTGATACCATTGATTTCGATTTCTGAATAGTCTCCTGTTGTTGGATCCCTCCACACTTGGCAGTATGTCTTCTGATGTGCCTCAGAAAACGGCCGTTGAACCGGCGGGAGCTGGCAGCGAGGGGAGGAGGCGATGTGGTAGCTTGTCGGGATGGGGCCGTCGTGGTTAGTGAGCCCAAGCTCAAGGTGGACCTCACTAAGTAGCTGACAACACCGTTGTATGGTGAGAGTAGAACTCGGAGTGTAGATACGTCGAGGAGCATACGTTCCAGTTCGATGAGGCTTTTTCTGAGGAAACGACCAATGCTGAACTGTAGTCAGGATTGCTTGCGCGTGTCTTATAGTACTATTGTGAGAGCATCAACAGGTATAACGTATGCGTTCGTCCCCTGGTGTCGGCATTATTCACTCGAAAGGCCAAGTGCACTGTGTTCGCATATGGTCAGACAGGCAGTGGGAAAACTTATACTATGCTTGGATGCCACGAGCCATCTAATGCTACACCAGGTGATAACAGCCGAGAGGATCTTGACAGACTGACTGTAGTCAGGCCTCTTTGCGCTGGCTGGAAATGATATCTTTACGGAGTTAGAGAGGTTATATGGGGAGGGGAATAGAGGATGAAGCGAATAGCTGTCACTGTCTCTTTTCACTCGGCTGTGTGTTCGAGGCGATGCATGGGGCCTTGAGGAATCTGTTAGATGTCTACGCGACATTTGGGTCCAACAGGGAGATTTGATGGTTGTTTGTACGAAGTAATAGAATATTCGGTGAAGTAGATACAATCACCAGGCTCATTCCGCTCACCCATCGAGCAAAGACGAGCTAACGATAAGGGTAATGAGCTCTCTTAGCTCGATCGTAGTGGTGTTCTGGCCAGGTGTCCTTCTACGAGATCTACTGTGGGAAGCTGTTTGACTTATTGAATCAGAGGAAGTTATTGGCAGCAAGGTGCGGTACAGGGGACAATTCCGTGGCGCGCGGAATGTATAGGATTCAGAGAGAATGGTCGGAATCGAGTGGTGATTGTTAACCTACAAGAGAGAGTCGTCGGCAATTCTGATGAGTTGATGAGGGTGGTGGTGGAAGGCATGGAGGCAAGGTAAGTTGGCGAAGTTGTCGTCGTACTTTCTGGAGAGGCACGTCTCTCCTTATGGTTCGGGGTTTCTATGAGATGCTGGACCTTAGAACGACTGGGGTGACAGGAGCCAATGCAGACAGTTCACGCAGTCACGCGGTGATGCAGATCAGTTTAGTGCATAAGAAGCAGATGAAACACGTGCATGGGAAACTGTCGTTCATAGATCTGGTAGCAGCAGTGGTCGCGCCGGTGATAGTAGTAGTGGCTATTCTAAGGCGGGGTCGGAGAGAGGCGCGGATGTGGTAGATCAAGATCGTCAAACCCGTCTGGATGGTGCTGAGATCAACAAGTCGTTGTTGGCACTGAAGGAATGTATAAGGGCGTTGGATCAGCAGGCTGATCATACTCCCTTCAGAGGCTCGAAGCTCACCCAGGTGAACACTGCACTCGAGTGGTAGAAGGCCGCGATGCTTGGCTACGTAGGTCCTCAAAGATTCATTCGTAGGCAGTAACTGCTCTACAGTGATGATAGCAAATATATCGCCATCAGCAGCATGCGTGGAGCATACCCTCAATACGCTGCGCTACGCCTATAGGGTGAGTTGTCCTGGGAGAGTGGGCAAGGTCGACTTCACCCTCCTCAAAGTAGTGCTCTCTCAAAAATCGGATTTTCAGTACGTTCATGTGAACTTGAACTTGATGAATTCATGTTTTTCATGAAGATTCATTTATATTGTGAAGATCTCGTCAATTGTCTCTTGCTAGCGACTCGAGAATCTTCTAACAGGTACGGGAATTGAGACGGGGAGATGGTGTAAGCCAAGACCAACATCAAAACGCATCTAATCCGGGCAACAACGTGTCCAACAACGAAAGCCTGGCTCCTGAGGACCCGGCGAACTTGTTGCCGAGATATGCTAACCCTCCAGTACGACAACATACGGAGATGAAGGAGAGGAATGGCAGGCTGAAAGAGCGGCAAAAACCGGCTGAAGGAGGGGGTCAGTCGTCGTCAGTATTGCTGGCGGGACCGCTTAGAGAATTGCCTCATGATGAGATCCATCCTTATGAAGGAGGCAAGGATGGGTGTACCTCCGGATTGGCGTTGTATTTACTATCTGGATTCAGGACGAGGTGTGCCAGCGCCTAGACGCCCGCCGTCACAGGAGAGCACCCAATCGACGGGCATGCGATTTCCGCCCGCGCCTCAGACTCATCAGAGAGTTGTAGCTGAGCAGGCTGAGAAGAAGCGAGCCGCGAGTGGTGACCATGGTTCATGGGCCTCAAAGAACAGCACTCGATCCAACTCGAATGGTAGCTGCGAGCAGAGCATGGTGGTGACGACGGTTAGGCGGGAGGCTCCTGTAGTGCGTCCCAGGGAGGAGGTCATCAATCTTGATGACTTGGCCAAGCAGCACGACCAGCTGATCGGCACTATATTGGTGAGCTTCATAGAACGGTCTCGATTGATGCCGCTGGTGGTCAGGCAGAGGAAGAGGAAATCATTACGTGTCATAGAGGCCATCTGGACCAGATGGTTACACTAGTGCATCAGGAGATGGCTGAGATTTCACGCATCGATCAACCAGGCTCCGATATTGACCAGTGAGAGCCTTGATCGCTTGGAGGGCCGACAGTAGCGATACAGGTACGTCAACTTCCTGAACGATAACTTGGAGAAAAAACAGCAACTGATTGACGGAATAAGGTGAGTTTGGTCCGATGGTAGTTGTAGGATATCTACTGAGTGTAGTGGAGAGATTGTGTTTTGTGACAATGCCGTACTAATTCAGAGCACGATTGACGCGCTTCCAAGCCCACTTACGCGAGGAAGAGGCTCTAAGTCGGAGGTTTCACGAAGTTAAAGAGATGGGGGATGGGTTAAAGCAGCCGCCGCAAGCGGCGCTCATGGATGACTCTCTGGTGGACAGATAGCATCAGAACGTTGTTGGCAGCTGCAATTAGTGTGATAAATAGCTGATAACATTCTCGTACGAGTAGGCGAAGGAGGACGACGGCCATTTCTGATAGCTTGTCATCACTATCCATGTTAAGCTACCCGTTATTGGTCTCCATAATCGAATGGTAACGGGTTCATTATACTACTCTGTTCTTGCGTCGTTAATAATAGGGAAAGGCTTGCGAGAGCTCTATTAAAGTGCTCTGTAGGATATAATGCTAATGAATATGGAAACACGGGTGGTGTTGAAATTGCTGACATTGGATCGCGCCACCTGAGTTGGTCACAGCAATTAATCGTAAGTTCATGATACGTCCCCCAGTTGGCAGGCCGAGGGCGTTGGGAATATCATCTTCTGTGTCGATGCGACCACACAGTGAGATGAAGAAGAGACGGTCTTCTGAGGGATCTAATTCTGCGGCGAGTGATGGTTATGCGAGTAGCACTGCTAGCGGTCGTAGGGCGCTGACGCCGGTTCCGAGGCCTATATTGAGTAGTCCTAGAGTACGAGCGATGACTGGGATAGTCAGCCCTCGTGGAGAATTCTCGAGGCGGCCGAAGAGCGCGAGTGAGGAGCCGAGTAGAGGTAAAGGAAAAGGCCGTAGCAGATCTACTCCTAAGTGCGATCCACCGTCAAGAGTCCAAACGATATCATCGAGGGTTGAGAGCAATCCCCCAGCGCGAGGCTGCACGAAACAGAGGGAGAGGAGCAGTAGCCGAGATCCGGCTGATAGAATGCGGCCATTCTATATGAGGCTGGGCTCTCAGGCAAGGATGGAGGCCACGACGGATAGTAGACGTAGTGGTGAGGTGGTAAGTGGAGGTGTCACGAGAGGAGCAACCAACATGAGGAGGGTGAACAAGCGAGTTGTGGAAAGAGTTAGTACTACTAGTTGTGCACAGCAGAACGCTGGGGTGATTGAAAAAGGAGTTGATGGGGATACTAAGGCGTCACCAAGCAGTGATCTGGCGCTGGGGGAGCTCAGCCCAGTGGTGGGTGAGGAGAGCCGGTGGCAGAAGCAAGTCGATAGCTTGACGGTAATTAGGCGATCCGAGTGGATGATATGATTGATATGAACTCAGGCAGCCCTGGGAGAGAAGGACGAGCGGATAGAGTCGTTGCAGAGACAGCTGAAGGATCAGGAAGAGACCGATAAGGCACGATGGGAGGAGATAGCAGCGCTGAGAGCGGAAGTGGAAAGCAGCAAGAGTGCACTCAGGAAGGTTACCAGTGAGTGAATGAGTAGTGACTTTTGGAGCACCCTTAGCTCTAGAGGAGTGTTTAATGGTTCACATGCGAACAACAGCGTGATGGTTAAACTGCTATCGGCTGACTACCTATGCGTTTACTTCTAGTGTGCAGCCTTCGAATTTTACCGCTTCCGCCCTACTTCGCCAATCCCTTACGAGTTCCTTCTGTGATGAGAAAGACCGTGCTCGGCGATAGACTCTATCGTGGAGTGACTGAGGAAGGCTCAGGTAGCCTGAAGAATCAAGTCAGAGCTCGAGAGGGAAGACTACAGAGTCTGATGGAGGAGCTGGAGGGTAAGAAGGGGGAGATAGTGGATCTCAACACACAGCTGGAGGAGGCTAAGCAACAAGTCGTTCTTCAACAAGAACGGCAGAATCAGTTCGTTACGACCGAAAGTGGGTGTTCTTCTTCTATCTTCACCGTGATGGGCAGTTTGAACAGGAGCCAAGGCGGACAGAATGGCGGAGAAACTCGAGCGGAGCGAAGCAGAGCGACGGGCGGAGGTTAACGAGTTGAACTTATACTATCAACAGGCGGTAGCGGGAGGAGATCAAGTCGTGGAGTGAGGCTCGAGGAGTTCGTGTCAGCTCCACGATCTGCGGACTCAAAATGCTGCTCATGAAGCTACTATAAAGCAACTAGATGAAAGCCTATGTGATATTAAGAGACTTCTATCAACCAGAGGTGGTGAGCGCAGGGTCGAACCAAATGAACTCCCGATTGTGATGAGTGGATCACAGTAGGGAGAGACAACTCGTTCGACAGTCCAGTAGGAGTAGTTGGTCAAGGAGAATCGATAGTAGAAGACGAGGAGCTTGAAGACCACAAGCCAGATGAGAGTCCTGCTGATAGGCAGCGACGGAGTAGCGTGAAAGATAGGGTCCGAGAGCTGGAGGCTTTAAGTGGTGGGAGACCGTCTGGCAGTAGCAAGTGAACCGTCGACGGGACGACTCTGTCCTTTATAGCTCGGTTGTTCTCAGCCACTCGGCTCCCTCCTCCTCGGCTACTGTTCCTGGTACTTCAACGCCGATTCCTACTGCTCTTGGTGGTGGTGTTGGTCTGAGCGGTTCTCCCCCATCCTCAGTGGGCGGCGAGGCCAGTATTGGCGCCGTGCTATTAGACCAAGCTCATGAGTGCTTCACGGAGGCGGTGAGAGAATGTCCGTTCATGGCACTCCCGAAATATTACTTCCCCCATGTCGGTTTGATAATTGGTTCATCACCATTGCTAATCCTTAATGAGACACGCCTGTAGGGAAATTGGAAGTCCTTCAAAAATGCTATGTTCCAATGTTGCCGTAGATCTGATACTTCTAGAAGGAAATCAGTGATAGTATACACGTGATGTTCCTTCAGCTCGACCTTTGCAGCGAGGACAAGTTCACCTTGGCCATGACTGTACTTGACCAAGCCCTTGGTTATCTCTCCAATGGTATTCCGCCCTTCACACTGCGGTGTATGCTACTATCATTCATAGGTGCCAACACGAGTCTTCAGGAGTATTTCCGTACAGATGACGATGCGAAGACACTCCTATCTGACATATATGGCCAACAAGGAGTCTGTCAACAGTCACTGGGGAATATAGATCGGGCGATCCATTGCTATAGTCGAGCTGTCGAGGTAGGCGGTCTCTCGTATACTGGAGTATTCACTGTGAAAATCATTTCTCACCGATTTCGGGAATATCTTTCAAGAATTGCCAGAATGGTATAATATCTTGATGAGTGGAGGGTGTGGTAAATAAGGAACATATATTTTTGTGAGTACGAGTAGATGGGCAAAAGTATTCTCGCTTGAGGGTCTGCGACGGTTTCTGGTAGGTAGATGCCGATGCACACGCATGCCATGCCAACCTAGCTGTTCTTCTCCTCTCGATGGTCTCGCCGCAGGGCAACGATGATAGCCTCCTGAAACGGGCTAAGGAGCATCTCAATCGGGCTGTGGAGCTCGATCCGAGCAATTCCGAGTAGGCTACGCTTGCTGTTGTGAATGACCATCCCACTGAGCAGATATGAAGACATCTGGACAACTGTCGATCACATGACGATACACATGGGAAAGGTATAATCTTCTCACCACACTGCTACAGCTGCTGTTGTACATCGTGTAACGAGTCTCCAGTACACTATCACTCTATCACTCATCCGTAGCGTTTGTCAATCGTGAGCTTGCGCAGTGGGACGCCTATTGCTCCACGTCAAGCGCATAATGAGGCCTATCAACTTTGTACGTGACAGTAATTCTCCGGTCACAACCGATGACCCCGCCGATGAGGGCACCAAATCAGTGCCACCTATTCAGCAGGGCTATGTGCAGAGTTGGGAGCTCCCGACTCGACATTGCGAGGCAGATATGGAGAGATCACATGAGGTAACCGAAGACCGCCGAGCTAAGCACTAGACGCTAGAAGTAAACTGGAAGAAGGGGGGCATCGGAGAGCAAACGTCGGAGAAGAACTCGGCCTCTCCAATCATCCGAGTTGGATGTACAGAACGAAATAGTTCAATCGGAACAAACACTACTGGAAGCAAAGTTAGGATTTGGAGTCACGTCCCCATTGCCTTTCAGCGCCAAGCGTGCATGGCTCAGTGCACCTCAGTTGACATTTGACAGCATTATAATACTAGTATAAAGCATGCATCCATTATAGAAGACAAGCAGAGTCTCATCATTAGAGAGAGATTCTTGAGTTCCACTGGTGAGGTTGTTGTATTTGTCCATAGTAGTTAACTAATACGCTTACTTTACTCTGTTCCGCACTACGACGAGCAAAGCTCTCGCCGTGGTGATCGCCTTGAGCAGTAGCTCACTCGGAGAAGTATCGTCTCCGCCTTCTACGGGCTTTCTACAGCCAAACGTTGTGTATCAACCCGTTGCAGCCTCGCCGTCGTCGTCATCATCATCATCACCGATCCAAGTGTTCGGTATCGGTCCGGGTGTTCCCTCCTATTACACAGTGGTTAGACCAGCGTGGACCTCAGCTGCGACACAGTCAGCATCACTGACCTCCCAAACTGCGGCAAGTCCATCGTGGACTACGATTTTTATGTCGTGGATCGTCTCTTTCCTCGTCGGGTCAATCGGCACTCTCCTTGTGAAGCAATACTTCCCAGAGCATCATAGGAGTGTGAAGAGAATCGCACAGCGTAAGATTTCTAGCGGAGCGATGCAGCGTCTCTATTTGAATTGCCTAACCTCAGGCATTGGCTCTTCTACTGCGACGTATGGCAATTTCTTCCGCAATCCTCCAGAAGATAGCAGATTGGAAAGAACTCCGCTAATTTCACACAGTTCTCACGTGGTCTCCAACCCTGTCACTGTTCACGTACGGAAAGTTATTCCTAGGACACCAAGTAAATGACCATCTGTCGCTGAGGTCTGTATATTCAGCTTCCAGATAACCCCTCTAAGAGCGACGGGGAAGCGGACCTGGCCATGAATAAGTCGAAACGGCATCGGACAAGACACGCGGTGTCGAGCGAAATGCATCGCAGTCATGAACACGAACTGCCCCGTGGCCATCCTGCGTATCGGAGCTTAGCAGTAGATGCAGCGAGGCGGAGCCGATCGCGGAAGCCAGCAAGCCATCGTCTCGGCGAATCAGAGCAGCAGGATGATGACAGGTGAGATACGTACATGTTTGTCGGAGGATGAACGTGTTCACTCCGAATTCCGTTAGTATTGCCAATAATGCCATATCTCTGCTCTTGTAGGCCCAAGGAAAAGAAGCATCACAAACATTCCGACAATAATGGTCCCTCATCCGTTGCTCGGAACCAACTCCATCACTGACCAAGATGTCGCTATTCAGCAACTGGTTGTACTCTTGTATCAAATACCTTCCTTGTCGCGCTTCATGACCCATGAACTATTAACTATTTATGTATTCCCTGTTGGATTCCTAGTATTCTCAAACTCGTGTACTGGGGGAATATCATTGATCACGCCCGGCGCGCTGTCATGAGATCTCAGCCACATCCGATCGAGCGTTCAGACAACTTATCCATAACCTCCTTATCCGGAGGTTCCGTTAGCGAGCTATAACGTCTACACCATTTCTTCCGAACAAGAGAGATGGAAAAGCGATGTAAGAGCCAAATGGAAGGCCACTGAAAGCTAAATGGGCGAAATATACCCAAAAAACATTCTCTTGCACGGCACGCTTCCACCATTCGACATCGAAACTGGTGGATGTGTTGTCCGCAGCACTACGGTTGGCCTATGACAGTACCGCGAGCACGAAAGCAAAATCTCTCATTAAATTTTGTCTCTACGGTTTTAAATTCGTGGAGAAATGCGTCATGATTTATTGGAAGGGAGACACTCAAATGAGGTTCCTCTCGAATGCATGATTGTACATGTGTGTTGTTGGCGAGCATAGATGTAATGTGCAGTTTGCAGTACTTGAAGTTCGTGTAGTAGGCTAGTCGCAGCGAGCATGGAGGCTGTTGATCATCATAGAGTTTGAACGTCATCCCTATTTGCCCTGCGTGTCACTCAGCGTGTATGTGTTCCCGACGGTGGAGACGCCGCAAAAATGACGCGTCACCAATGTTGACATCGACAGAATTACAATGTGGTCATCTCAATTTGAGCCACCCATTGCATACAACGACGAGTCCTGCAACGTCTGAACGGTAGTTGTAGTGAGGGGGTAACTCTCACCACCTTCGGAATGGGGGCTCCTTGCAACAACTGCATAACAGAATACGCATATGACGAGAAAAGCTTTCTAGTCTGTTTCATAAATTCTGTCCTTCCAGGACTCTTATAATGACGAAAGAACACACTAATATCAACTCCGCGGTAGTATAGAGGTTAGTATTCCTGCCTGTCACGCAGGAGACCCGAGTTCAATTCTCGGCCGTGGAACATCGTTTAGCCTCGATCAACTTATTCGACTGTCTCTGCTATGGCGATCATGCCCCTATCCTCATGATACAGTATGTGGCAATGCACCACAATACCACCAGTGAAATCGACCGACCAAAACCTCACTGTAATACCACTCCCACTGAAGTTGAACCCACCGATGGTATCGTACCTGTGATGGATGTCGAGCGGCAAGCGTTCTCGTGATTCACTCACCAATCTCCCAAGAAGAAACCAGCCTCCTCAGCTTCGCTGGCACTATCCTCATCACCAAATTTTACAATCTGCACAGGGTAAGTATGCGTGTGCACTGGATGTTTCCAGTCCCCTTTTTCGTATATCCACTCATTCAAGTCGCCCAACCGCATTTGAGTCAAATAGTCGGTAGCAGACGAGAATGATTTGCCATTAACCGCGAGATTACCAATTTCCTGCTCAGCAGCATGGAAATTCGATATGGAGAAGAGTACACAGAGAACCACTGCACCAAGTAAAACCGTAACTGTGCATGACTTATCGGCGCCGAACCGGCTGTTTTCAGCTTGTAGCCTCACATAACCATACCCTCTAGAACAGTGGAGGACAAACCACTTCCATAGAGGGAGTACCATCAAGAGAGCTAGGACGGCAAATAACCAGCCCAGAAAGGTTCGCGAGGGAAATGTGGGGTAGTAGTGCCCGAATTTGAGATGAAATGGAGGAGCGGCAGCCGTGAGGTTCCGAGTGTCCTTCAGGTACTCGGCGGAAGGCTTCGGATAGTACGGGGATGTTGCCGATCCCGACACCGACGAGACTGGGATGACGCTGAGAATCTCTCCAGTGTACCAATAGTTATCGGGGCTTTTATGGTTCACGCCGACAAACTGGACATGCTGTTCTGCATTATTACAACGTACAGCAATATCGCGGCGAGAGCCTGGGATAAGGATAAAGGAAGTCACGGTCCTCGGCCCTTCCGTTAGAGGTATCCCGTCAGCGGCAATCACCTACGAAGCATCGTTATCGTACTATTGACAAACGATGCGCATATCTCGAATCGTCCGCCCATAGAAAATGACGTGGCGGTGGAAAGAGAGTCTCACCTTCATATCGCAAGCTCCGGCTGGTAGGATTGTAATGTTCACATGAGCTGCCACTGGTGGGTGGATGAACCGGAGAACGCCCCACTCCCGCAAAGGAACTTGGATCGATGGCGCTGAAAGAACATCAACTATCGCTAGAATCTTGCCAGATCTACCATCCCCGCATACCTACGAGGCCGTTTACGAGATATTTTGAGAACACTGGTTCGGTAGATTCTCTGGCTGCGATCTCTGTTGGCCGCATCCAGCTTGGTGGCCCGTTGATATCGCCGCCCTCGTGACTGTAGTATGGCCAGTCTACGCCTGACGAAGGATAATGACAAGATCACTCCTGGAGTACGCCGACTCATAGGTCATCTCGATAGACGAGAAATATGCTTTTCAAATTTTTCACCAACTTTTTGGGGGAAACTCCCAATTGGACAGTAAAAGCCGTTATTGCCTTTTTCATGGGGCAAAAACTCCGAAATGTGGCAACATCGGGATTGCGGCACACGCATATCTCGGTTGTGACAGATAAACTCCACCAGAAGTTTCCTGGTATAATTCCACAGAGTCACGGAGGAGTTACTCGGATCACCTTGCGAATCTTTGATGGGCTTCGGCTCAAGCTTGTAGCAGTGGAAACAGACGTGCCCTAATACTAGAGCTTCCTCGAATGGGAACTCCTTTCGACCGTTTCTAAGGAAGATATCAACTGTTCAATAGCAGCAGCATAGACAAGCACCGTCGAATGACCTACGTTGGGCCTACGATGAGAGCTCCGGCGAGGCCCTGACTAACTTGTATAGATGTACTCCCATGGAGGTGAGCGTGATACATATAGGTGCCTGAGAACAAGATAGCAGCAAATGTTCAATGATTAAGCGCCAATGAAAGCACCATGCAAAGACTCACCGTGCGCGTGATCTTGATGGATGTGGTAGAGATAGGTTAAATTCTCGCCTGGTCGACATGATACCAATACGTCGTCTTCTAATGGGGATATATGTAAACCATGGAGGTGTAAGTTTGTGGCATTCAACTGAATCGATAAATACTATATGCCAGATAGGTGTAGAACGCACCCTTCCCAGATGATTGTTGTGCCATGCTCCTTCAGGGGGGCTCAACTTGTTGATAATAACGATGCGAAGAGTGTCTCCTGGGGAAACACGTATGGTGGGCCCAACCAATTGACCATTGTAGACCCTTGGTCGCCAGTTTCCTATTCCAACCTGAGAGGACACATAGAGTCCATAAGAATACAAAGTTGGAAGATCTACACTTTCCATCAGCTCAGGACCAGCAAGATCGAGGACGAGCTGTTGCTCTACGAATGCCGAGTGCAACTGCTGCATAAGAGCTGTCGCTGAAGCGACGAACTGCGCCACGGATCGGCAACGCATGCAACAAATAGACTCGCAACCTGTTCCACGGAAATGCATTGGAGAGACTTCTCATCCACACTATCACTCATGATAATCCAAATCTGAGATGAGACAATCTATGTACCACATGATGATTTGCACGCATGCCCAAGGAGATATGCGTGCTGAAAATCAGCCATTCGCGCGAGACTAACTCATACAGAGGTCGCCGAATTCGAAGGCTCTTGCGACACTAGTTAGATTATAGGCCGTACCAGCCATCGGTATATGCTATCGAACGCTACTCGGTAGCAAATCTCAAACGACTCGTTTTGGATTCGTATCATACGAATCGGATGGAGCCGACCCTGCCCTATACTATTGAACAGATACTGTAAACAAGACATGTTATGGTAGCTCAACTACTTGTCAGTAGAGACCCCAATAGGTGGTAAGCATCTACATCCTTATATCTCTTTGCATTTCATATATTCCTCAGAGATTTCGATCATAGGAAGAATGTAACTGAAATCGATGACACCATAGAATCAACGGCGTAGATGATTTACTACGGATGTATTCATAATTGCCTGAGCGAAGATAGCTGATATAGATCGGTACCCGAGTCGGAGCATAGCTTTCCACTTCGTATACATGGGAAATCATATGGAGACTGTCGGTCCATCATTTACACAAGTTAGGTCCCAAATCGGCAAACCAATCATACACGTTGTCTCAGGGTAAGCTAGAGCACATCAGAGGGTAGGAGGGGACACTTCGTATCGCCTGGTCATACACTCGCTCTCTCTAGATGCGAGACTAGAGTCTGCCACCGATCACGACGTGACTGCAATATCATTCCTTGTGCCCTTCAAGTAGAGCACCTAGTGGCCCATGGTATCAAACGCCTTCACGATACTCTGTGCTCTCATGTCGGACACGCACAGCGCCCCTTCGCTGGGAAGCATCACGACATCATTTTGATACAATTCGAGACCGCTAACATCGCTCGATGGAGCAGCCTTGAAAGCCGGTAGCAATCTAATGTGCTTCCGGCCAATTACAGCAGAGACCACGAACAGATAACACACTTGGTTGCTTCGCATCGTCTAGAGACGAATGAACACATGTTCAACTGAGCAGATTGATAATAACCCGTACATTAGAAACTAGCTAATCGCTATAATCAGTTGATCCAATTCAATCTTCCCCATTGTCTGTCTAACCTCGTGCAAGGCATGCCCAAGTTGGTCCCTTATTACTTATATGTTACGATTACTTATATGTTCCGAGTGTGAGACCACCCTCCCCATTAGGATCTCTTCGAGGGAGGGATGAATCCATTTCCTTATGAAGAATGCGTACCTTCTCATTCCCGAGAAATAGTCAGCCGGGGCATTGATTAACCGCAAAACGAGAAGGTGAAAATGAGACAGAGAAATTGTAACCGATGATTCATCAAGTATGACAGTGATAAACCTACTACCAAACAACAGCGCATTGCATACAACTGCCGTAAAGATAGACAGATATAAGACGATACTAGTGCTGATGATGATAATGGGCATCGCTGATACCGTATCATGCAAAGAATAGCCTTCCTGGGCATCAATACAGAGGTTGTCAATATCATCATAATCCTACAGTACCTTCACCTCATCATAATCACGCCTATAGATTCGGCATGAACGGCAGACAAACATCACCTACTATGTGATAATATTCACAGGTGTATTATTACTTACATCAACAAAAGAGCTACGACCAAAATTTGCATACTCCACTACAGTGCGCAACAAACGAGACATACGATGAGCGCAGCACCGTAATGGAACATCGACAGGGAAAAAGAAGGACAGAATAAGGGAGCACAGCAAAAGGATACAACTGTGACTACTACTACGAAGACGACGACGACAGCAGCAGCAATACGTATTTTGCTTTATCTTTCTTTCAAGTGGCTCTAAAACTACTACACTTACTGTACAATATTATCACCACAATGGCAGCAGACTCTCGACGAGAGAATGACGATATAGTCCTCTTATGAGGCTGATGATGCGAGAAGGAGCAGTAGCAGTGGTAGCGTCGTAGAGAATATAAGAACTAACCCCACTGCTGTACAGTAGCTCTTGTAGTGTGATGGGAATGTTGACTATGACGATAGAAGAGCGATCCGGACACCAACTTCAAGGAGAGCCCGGACTACTGCCGGAAGCTTATTTCCGACTGAAACGGTACATACCAATGAGGCTTCCGATGAAAAGAAGGATAATGATCATGTACAACTTATAATGCCCAAGTCCTATGGATCGAAAATCGTAAGGTCCAACACTGCTGAGATCTATTAAATAGGACTTGGCATTACCTCCATAAAGCGAAAGCAGTGGAAGAAATTCATAGCAGCAGCAGCAACACCACTACTACTATTACGAAGGCTTCTATACTTGCCATACCTCAAATACACAGAGCTTATCGATATGCGATAAGTCACCATCACTAAGGCAAAAGTGTGCCTCGACAGTGATCATCCACCATTACTAAAATACAGCGGAGACGGACGAAGCAAGCAGGAAGAGGCAAGGACGAGATAGTTGAGTAAGAGCTACTATTTGATGAGACTAAAAACGCCATAGAAGAGAGGATACAATATTCATCACCGAGACCCCACGTAGATATGTCGATCCTCAGTAGAAGGTCCCTGCGACAGTGGAAAATCATAGTATAAACAAGCCTTGAAGGTGCACAACGGAGGCCTTGCCTTGAAGACCAAAATACACCCCGACTAATTATCGAAATACTACTGTCACTGAGCAATGCTCCTTCTCACAAAGAATAGCGTCTACGTAAAGTCACAGGCGGACACTCATCAACAGGGAAGTTAACCTAAAGAATCGCTATGCTTCCACACCCCATAGCATCTAGTATTACCCCTTTCTTTGTCCGTGGATATCGATATTTGCTACTTTTTTGGAAGTCCGAGGTTCGCCCGTTCCCAACCACTGAGTTCTTAGGCAACGTTGGCGTGTCATATCTGACGAGCTTCGGTTGATACACGCAAGTAACGGCAGCAACATTACCCAGCAAAACTGCCACTACCGAAATACGCGCTTCCCCCAGGAGTCGCTGTGGTAGCCGCCGTTCTGCCAGAGTTGCTTCCAACAGGCCCGTAAGAATAAGGCTTCGTGAGCCAGGGATACGCCTTAGAAAGCGGCACATGAATCTGAGCATTGGCACTACGTAACACTGAGATGAGCTTTTCCCTCTACTACATGCGCCCTCTCAAGATCGTGCTTGTTGACACCGACACACATAAGTTTACCACCTTTCTGTACATGCTTTCCTGTGAGTCGCCGTTGGTCAGCCAGCCTTGCCATCGACTTGAAGATATCACGCATCTCTCTAGAGCTCATCCGCATCTGAGAATATGTGTCGGAGAAGCATCACCGCTGACTCCAGTGTGACGATGTCAGAGATAACGCGAATTCACATTGATATTCAGTGAATCTCACAGGCTTTATGTAATTCACAATGATTGGATTCCAGCGAGAGTGGCAATAGTCCATTGGAAGGGTTCCTCATTACCTCTGGATGTGTCCGTGACGTGACAGCCGGTAGCAAGTCCCCAGGGGGCACCTTGGCCCCCACACCAGATCGACATTGTGAACTACCTCCGACGATATTGGTCTACAACATAAGGAACAACGATGAACGAATGACACGAGCTAGGAGTATAGTACCGGCCGATGCGGAGAAAAAGAGTCCGGCAAGCCTCTGCCTCGTCTTGAGTCGTATACGTTCCGGATCGGCCCCTTCGTCGAAGGATCTACTGGCAGTGGCCGAGTATCTCTATGGCTGCTGCCAGATGTATACTGACACACAGACACGTACGATACGATTCAAGGTCATCCGCCCAGCTACGTAATTGCCGCCGTTTCTCCGTGTCCGAGCATGCACTGGCGTGTCCATTCGATAAGCCCGGGAGCCACCACAAAGTAAGGATGATATCCATGATGTGAATCCTCTCTTGCCGCCCGAAGAAGGTCCCCTTACAAAGAGATCGGATACTCCGAGAGCCAAAACGAAAGGACAATCGAAATAATGATCTTATTCCCTCACGACGCTCATATGAAACCCCTTGACAAGCAGCGACTAAGTGCATTGAGATATGACGAGATAATACATAGGCAAACCATAATGGTTGTGTGTGGATAAACGAAATACTACAGTACGTTAGATGAATGCATCGTTTGAGGTTATCCCAATTTCAAATGGAGGGGAACGCTCTCGTCACGGTCTAAACGTCTTGAAGGTTTCGACAGACTGCTGAGTTCTACCAGTCTCGTCCCAACGCTGTTCACTTTCCTTCCCATCTTACATTGATGTCGCCTCATGTACTCTATCGGCCTTAGGAACCGCCATGAAGATGATGAACAATTCCTATCGCACGACTGTGAACTGAATGCTTACACGCTCACACACAATGGGACGATTTTACGCGTGTAAAACCGTTCAAAGACGGAGTAAATTCCACACACAAATCGTTCCTGAACCAGCTCAAAAATGGTGCTATATCATTTCAGTTTTCTGACAATGCTAAGCAAGCTTGCCGTCCACGCTCAGTCCGGCTGGAGTGCTGTCAGGCACGCCAGTACATCGACTATTCGTGGTTACAAGGCAAGCTCTCTTTTTCGCTGCGGTAAAACGTTCAGCTCGCTTCCTGGTAGGTTCATGACCACTTCTACGATGCTGTTGTAGTTGGCGCTGGCGGTGCCGGCCTTAGAGCCGCCTCCGGTCTTGTTGCTCACGGCCTCAAAACTGCCTGCATCTCCAAAGTGAGTTTATGCAACTCTCACACCTGCATTGGATTCATACACGCTCGTCAGGTCTTCCCAACTCGCTCCCACACTGTGGCTGCCCAAGGCGGTATAAATGCTGCTCTCGGCAACATGACCGAGGACGACTGGCGCTGGCATGCCTACGACACTGTGAAGGGCTCCGACTGGCTCGGGGACCAAGATGCTATCGAACACATGTGCCGCCTCGCCCCTCAAGTCGTCCTCGAGCTCGAGAGCTATGGCCTGCCCTTCTCTAGAACCAAGGAGGGTAAGATCTACCAGAGAGCATTTGGTGGGCAGAGTCTCAAGTTCGGCAAGGGTGGGCAGGCCTATAGGTGTGCTGCAGCTGCGGATCGTACCGGCCACGCCATTCTGCACACTTTATACGGTATGTCTCTCAAGTACGATTGTCTCTTTTTCATAGAGTATTTTGCTCTGGACCTCATCATGGACCAAGACGGCTCCTGTAAGGGGGTTATCGCAATGAGCATGGAGGACGGGTCGATCCATCGCTTCGGCGCCCACCAGACTGTTATTGCTACCGGCGGTTACGGCAGGGCCTACCAGAGCTGCACAAGTGCTCATACCTGTACTGGCGACGGAGGCGGCATGGTCTCTCGAGCCGGTCTGCCGCTTCAAGACCTCGAGTTCGTACAGTTCCATCCCACTGGTATATTCCCAGCTGGCTGTCTTATGACTGAGGGGTGCCGTGGAGAGGGTGGAATCCTGAGAAACAGTGAAGGTGAGCCGTTCATGGCTAGGTATGCTCCTACTGCTAAGGACCTGGCCTCGCGAGATGTGGTCTCTAGGGCCATGACACTTGAGATACGCGAGGGGCGAGGGGTTGGCCCCAACAAGGACCACATTTATCTGCATCTGGACCATCTACCTGCCGAGACTCTCAGAGAGAGGCTGCCTGGTATCTCAGAGACGGCTAAGATCTTTGCTGGAGTTGATGTGACTAAGGAGCCTATTCCGGTCCTGCCTACAGTGCACTATAATATGGGAGGAATTCCTACAAATTGGAAGGCCCAGTGCCTTAATCCCACCTCGTCTGACCCCAACAAGATCGTCCCTGGTCTGCTGGCTGCTGGTGAGGCTGGCTCTGCCTCCGTCCATGGTGCCAATAGGTTGGGGGCCAACTCTCTGCTGGACTTGGTCGTATTCGGTCGTACTGCTGCCGATACTGTGGCCGAAATCGTGAAGCCAAACTCACCGCCCGTCACTCTGCCTAAGGACGCCGGTGAGGCTACCATTGACAGGTTCGATAAGATACGTCACGCCAAAGGCCCGGTGTCAACTGCTGATCTCCGAAGCAAGCTTCAGAGGACCATGCAGACGCGTGCTCCTGTATACAGAAATGGAGATGACCTGAAAAAGGGGTGTGAGGAGGTACGTGAAATTATGAAGGAATACAAGGACGTCGGCATCAAGGACCGCACCTTAGTCTGGAATACAGATCTTATCGAGACCCTCGAGCTGGAGAACCTTATCACACAAGCAGCCCAAACGATTGTATCGGGTGAGGCCAGGAAGGAATCCCGTGGAGCACATGCCCGAGAGGACTTCACTGAGAGGGATGACAAGAAGTGGATGAAGCATTCCCTGTCATATCAGACTAAGCCTCATGTTGAGGAGTCGGATATCGTATTGAAGTATAGGCCAGTGGTGGATCAGCCTCTAGACAGCGAGATGCATCATGTACCTCCAGCCAAGCGAGTCTATTAACATGGTTGATGATGTGAAGGAGTAGTAGTACATTGCTGGGCATTATAATAGCCTAGCATCCTCATGGTACTCATGAAGGTTGTTCATATGAGCACTCGAGGTTCGGTGAGTTTTTGTGGTAGGAATCTCTTTTCGGCAATGCGACTTGAGTTGACCAGTCGGATGGGGGTGTGGGTGAATCGGTGTTGTAGTTTTTATGGGTGTATTGATTCTCTATACTGGATTATACGCGCGGCTTAGTGAAGGAAAGTGTAGATCAAGGGACGGATCAATGAGTCTAATTGAGTCAAACGACTGAGAATCAACTTATGGGAGCCACTATGATGCCCCGGGGGCCACCGCGGGGATGGCAGTTTTCAGCGCGAAAATCTTGGAGGCCTATCAAGACGAGTTCTTGCCCGGGCTGGGGTTGCTTTTAGCCCAACTTCGGAGTAAGCGGCCTCCTCATCTGGGAGTGCACTTGACTGGTGCACTAGACCATGGGAGGTGATTACCGAGCCTTTCCCGATGCCACATAGCATGTGGGCATACACTCGACGGATATGAATGCGACTTTGATATTGAAGAATGGCCATCAGTATCGGGAGTAAATACGACACTTACCCCATACGCCGCTGAACGTGGCAGGGCAGATGAATCAGTTGCTGTCAGCTATGTTTTTGATGACAGTCTTGATGCGATGTATTTCCTGCTATCCAGTGACTGACATTGACACGAATCTGTACGCCTGAACTCTTTCTCGTAGCTCTAGTGGAATCTGTGAGCTGAGGCGGGCAGGTGCTCTCCCGAGTCACGGAGAACAGTGATGAAATATCATTGGCTGAAATATGCTTTCATTAACAAGATTGAACATCGAGATGTTCGCGGCAATGCATGCACTCACCGACAAATCATAATGCTTCAGAGAGAGGAACACTAGTTCTACGATATCGCCACTGACAATCAGATTGGCTGGGACGTAGTTTGTATCATCATTGCGATAGACAGTACATGCTGTATCAGAGAGAGGAACACTTGTTTCTGCTTTATCCCCACGGATAATCGGACTGGGGCGGCAGATTGGGTCATCATTACAGCTTCCACTGAGATGTTGCCGGTATGGTTTATCTCGCAGCTAATCGCCACATAGTAACTACTGCAAGTCTAGGAATATACAGGCACAGAATCAGGAGCGCCAGGGCACTCAACTAACCCATTCTGTCTCGGATGAAATCGTTGGCAACTGTACACCATATGAAGATGCTCGCATAGACGATTACACATGAATAGTTAGAGGCTATTCATGTACTCATCCAGAGTTCATAATGCTTCAGAGAGAGGAACACTAGTTCTACGATATCGCCACTGACAATCAGATTGGCTGGGACGTAGTTTGTATCATCATTGCGATAGACAGTACATGCTGTATCAGAGAGAGGAACACTTGTTTCTGCTTTATCCCCACGGATAATCGGACTGGGGCGGCAGATTGGGTCATCATTACAGCTTCCACTGAGATGTTGCCGGTATGGTTTATCTCGCAGCTAATCGCCACATAGTAACTACTGCAAGTCTAGGAATATACAGGCACAGAATTAGGAGCGCCAGGGCACTCAACTAACCCATTCTGTCTCGGATGAAATCGTTGGCAACTGTACACCATATGAGGATGCTCGCATAGACGATTACACATGAATAGTTAGAGGCTATTCAAGTACTCATCCGAATGAACCATAAGCTTGTATGTGCGTCTAAATCACCAATGCCCCACGGGAAGAAGCACAAGCGCGAACACGCAATAAGTTATGTGCACACGAACAGGTCGACAACACTATCGCTAGTGTAGTCGAGGGAGAGTGTGCATAGCAAATGCCACTATCAACACAACAAAAGACGATGTCCTCTTTCAAGGCGCATAAAGCAACCCCTTGGCAGCCACACGAAACCGATTCGGCAAGTGAGTATCAACAGGTCATCAGCAGAGTACACCTTAATCGAAGAGATCGAAATCCATCTCCTCATCCTCCTCTTCCTCCTCCTCAGCGGGAGCAGCAGCGGCCTCAGCCTTGGCCTCGCCAGCAGCAGCAGCGCCAGCGGCGGGGGCGGCGGAAGCGAATTTGGAAGGATCCTTGAGGAATTCCTGAAAATAGAACGATAATGATCATTAGTACGATAGTCAAATCAAAGAGACGCATCAAGCAAAGAAATTGTTGCCGGTATGGTTTTTCTTTCAGCTAATGGCCACATAGCAGCTACTGAACGACTAGGAATATACCGGCACAGCGAAGGGAGGGCCAAGGCACTCAACCAACGCATACTGTATAGGAGGGAACCGTTAGCGACTATACACCACGTCAAGGTGCTCGCATAGACGGTTACTGCGAGCATGGTTAGAGGCCACACTGCAACCCCTCCAAAGAACGGCATGAGAAGGAGCATCCGTAATACCTTAAGCTCCTCAATCTCAGGGAAAGTGAAGTCGATGTCGGAGCACAAGGCGGCGATGTTCCTGAAGGCGTTGTTGATAGCATAAGGCAAGGTGGCCTCGTTGGGGATGCCGGCTTCACGAGAGAAGGCGGCGAAATAGGTAACACCGTGCATGAACTTCTCAACAAGATCATCATCGCTGATATCCAGGGCAGCGGCATCATAGACCTCACCGTTGTCGTAGATGGACTCAAGTTCGACACCGTACTCGAAGGGACGGATGTTCAACTTCATGAGAAGGGCCTGCTGGGAGGCGGTAACCTTCGAACCCTTAGTGACAAGAGCGACATCGTTGGAGATCTCAATGGAACCCTTGACAATCTTAGTGGCGATGTTCAAAGCCTGGAAGAAGTTGGTCTGAGAGGGGTCCAAAGAGGTGGGACCAGCGGGGATATCGACATTGCACTGAGCAACCATACCAGCCTTAGCCATAGCGGGAACCTTGTGCTGGGAGATGATCTCACGAATCTCGTCGATGGGAGCCATGCAGAAGATAAGACCGATGTTACCCTTGATGACATTCAAGAGATGGCCGAGATCAGCGTCGTGCTCCTCCTCGTACTGCCTAAGGGCGGTACGGAGCATAGTGTTCTTACCCATGACGATGATGGCCTTGCCACGGAGACCAATACGGATCTGCTGCAACTGGTTGGATCCGACATGATCAACGGAGGCAATGAGAATCTTCTCGCAAGTGTCGAGGAGGTCCTTCACTCTGTCGAGGTAGGCGGTCTTCTTAGCAAGCTTCTTGGGATCGCGAGGTGCCATGATGTGTGGGGACTGTGAGCTAACGGCTCTCCAATCAGTTTAACCACTGAGGGGTTTGATGAATCAATAGGGGACCACGCGCTGAAGGAATCGATCACGTGATCGATTACGTTGCAGCGGAGCGATGCAAGAGCGCATCTTCTTCCCGTTAGAGATCGACTCGCTCGCCCTTCACGAGCCACCCCGAGTTAATTCAATTGACCCTGTAACTGGTTTATGCTCGCAGGCTACGGTTACGGAATTAATCTTGATCTACAGAACTGAACTGAACCTCCTGAAGGATTACGTTCCAGTGTAATGAGTGAGTTCGACACTTACGCTGCCGGAACCATCACGCCTGTGCTGAGCCGTGCACTGGCTGATCTCTATCAGCAGGAGCACGGATCTGTTGAGCCTGTTGAATACCTCAGCAATTGGCTCAAGCTCTGGGCTGAGGCGCAGGGTAATATCGAAAGTTCGGACATCGCACCATGGAGATTGATCTGCTCTCTTCAGTCTCCGAACAGGAACGTGAAGTAAAAGCTCGAAAGCAATTACAATATACAAAAACGGTCGACGCCGAAGTAGTTCAATAGTTCTTTGTGAGGATTAGTTGCGTCGCTATTGTGACTAATCAGCTTCGTGAAAGACAAGTAAAACTCGAGGAAGAGGAAGAGAGAGCAGCGAGGCCACTGAAGATCCTGGACGAGCTCTCGCAGAGACTCGCCAATGTCGATTACAATGAAGGTAATACGGCTTGTCAAGATTAGCAGTATGGCACGCCTCAATCCTCTGCGTGAGTTGATCGGATTAGATATCGGATGATCTCATTACGAAGGAATCGATGCATTTTAGCCTTACATTGATGAGTCGTTATAATTTGTGAACGTGGCGGTCATCACCTACAGTATGCAATCATCGGATAAATTCACTCAGGATGCCACTAAAGTCTACTTTGCTAGCGTAACTCGAAACTCTCATCAACGTAGTTCACTGAAAGCCCTCTTCTGGAACGTCCATCCTGGTAGCTACTCTTGTTCTTTTTAGATTGTAAGTACTGCCAGCGCTTCCCAAACCCAGGCTTGTGGCAAGAGCTAACTGACAGTGTGCGAGAGGCAGTTGCTGGGTGCAGCGGGTGTTACGTTGGGGAGGTTGTCATCGATGAGGAAGGAGCCAAGCTTATACGGTGCGTCATGCCAGTCTAGGGTAAGCACCCAGCGAGCCGTCTGAAGGTACATTGCTAATTCTGGTACTGCCCCTGGTGAGGCAAGGTTGCAGGGAAGTGAGGGAGTTGTTTGGCAGGTAGTAGATGCGTGTAACATCACTATGTCGCACCTCGCCGAACAGGTGCTCCAACCACGAGGGGAAGAAGAGGAAGAAGGGGATCAAGAGCCCTCTCCTAGGTCGAGGCAATTGTGAGTCATGACTTGTCTTGGGAGCTATCTCGCTATGCATTTGAAAAGCCATGAGTGGACCATCTCATTGATCTAGTTTACAGGTAAGACTGTGTATTACAAAATGTGTAGGTATATATCCAACGTTATGGATGTCCCCGAAGTGAAGTACTTCGAGTTTACTAAGCCCGGATCTTTCCTGGCTATCCCGATAACGTAATGACCAACGATCGCGCCAGGGACTCGAGACGTATACGGGGTGGTGTGTAGGTATTCAAGCCTCTTGAATAAGGAGGGCCTGGAAGCAGCAGTGACCGACATGAAGGAACGACGAGCTCAGTTCGCGGAGGAAATGGCATCGTAGTTAGCTGGGAATATTCGGGAGGCTAGTGTGTTGTAGGTTTGAGGAGGCTAAGGCTCAATATGAGCAGGCAGTGGCTGAGCTAAAGGAAGGGGAGGAGGTGATATCATGCACAATGTCAACTGCAGGGGACTCCATCCGGGGTTATATGCTGTGTCTCTCCTTGCCTAGAATCCCGAGGAACCCGTACAGCCAGTGATTAGAGAATTGAATGCATTGGAGGGCGTAACTGGGCAGCTGGTTCTATGTGTGGACACCCTAGGAGCAGAGGGAGGCTTGTTGGAGATTCGCCAGCAGTACATTGAGAAGGTAGTAGACGATGGTGGCTGAGAGGTGGTTGTAACAGGACTGTAGTTGGCTGCCCTCTGCGGTCACCTTGAGAAGGGGAAGGCTGCTATGGAGCTACAAGCTGTTAGGGAACAGGCTGAATACCTAGTGAGTATGCAACAATGAGATGTGGGTTGAAGTCGAGTTTGATAGACGTCTGAAGCTGGCGAGGCCAATCGTACGGAATTGATGGGTAAGTATGTGGAGGCCACCGGTGGAGAGGCAGTGGAGGAGGTGGAGAAGCAAGTGGAGGAGGAAATCGAAGGATTAGGGGAAGGTCCATAGCGCGCGGTCGGAGGTCGAGGAAGTGTTCGTATTGTAGATGCGACTGATGATGATAAGGGGGTTATACGATTAGCCCGCAAGTTGAAGATGTTGAGGTACCGCTTTGGGTGACTTCCTTGGATGATGCACATCAAGCTCATAGAGATGTCTGTATAGGTCTGTGTTGGATGGTACTGTTAAGGGCAACTTGCTACTTGATATCAGCTCTAGAAAGCTACCCGAAGAGGCATTGGCTGTTATCATGAAGGTTATTATCGCTGTGTACTGTCTCCCTTGACGAGCCGACACTTCAGGCGGTGCTGTTGTTCCTCGCTGAGCAAGATGCGTCTTCGATTTATGGAGATGCGGAGCTCCAGTGGTCTCAGCTGGTAGCCGCCCTCCATTCTGAAAGCATTTGGGAGAAGGTGATTGCTTCTGTTATGGGTTTCCTGGAGCCAATGGTCGTAGATCGTATCGGCTGATATGAGGCGACCAAGGCCAGGTGTGCCTCCGGAACATACTTTAGAGAGGGCAAAGGCTTTGGTCGAGGAGGCGATACAATGTGGCGGTCAGAAGGCCGAGGGTAGGCACCTGGCTGGAGGATGTCAGACTTTATGAACCCTTTAGATGGTGCTATCGAGGAAGAAGTGAGTAAGGAGCGCCCTGCCGAGGTTATATTGTTGGGCTTGTTGGAGGCAGCAGTTGAGCTTAGAGAGAAGGTAGCGATACTTACTATAGGACAGTGTTTCGCTCCGCCGATATCATCCTTGTCACTGCTTAGGATGTCCGTATGAGGTGGCTAAATAGTGACCTGCACAAGAGGGTATGGGAGCCTCGGGTAGCGGCAACGGAAGAGGCAGAGAAGGACGAGGGAGGCACGGTTGAGGAGGGTAAGGGAGAAGAGGCAGCAGATAGTCCGGAAGGAGGGGGAGAAACTGAAGAAGGTATTAGTAACTCACATTCACTAGAGCTCCCTTCCCTTACCTGTAGCTTTACCTGCAAAGGAGCTTGTTGAAGTCCCAACTGCTGTTGACCCTAGCGAGGCGTCTGCCATCGACGCTGACTTCGTACCACTACTTGAGGCCGACCTAGCACAGCTAGCTGAGGAGAGGGAGGCATCGGCAGCAGCTGCGGATGGTGGGACCGAGTAGGATGGTGGTACATGGTGTAGTACACCAGGTGTACACACGATGGATGATGAGTTGTTGTGAGTACACTGATGATGTTTTGTTGCTAGTCATGGTTGGGTGGTAACGGAGATGCCTCTTTGTCGGGCCTGTGGGTTTAGAGAGACCGTATCCCTGGGAGAATCGTACCAACAACCCTATTCAGTCATCGTTACTGTTTTCTCAGTTCGTCGTGAAAATACTGGATGTCGATAATCCCGTCACAGATCTCTTCTCTCAGCACGCTGCAGCTGGGGAGTTTACCATCTCGTCCTGTAACGAAGACGAGGTTCTCGGCCTCTACAGCGACTTGGGGGACTCTTGCTGTTGATATGCTACCTCTGACGGGATTTCAATTTTCTATTGCTTCAACTGTCTATGCCAACTAAGCAGATGGCTACCAAACCAACATGGGACCTAAGTCCTGTTCACGGTATCTGCTAGTGTTACAGGCCCATCATGAGGCTGTTGAGCTCCTCTGTCCCCTGTGCAACGACGCGACCCTTGCGAGGGTGTCGATGAACGGCTAGACTGTCTTTCTCGAGGCAGCAGAAGCAGCTGTCTTTCTGCACTCAAAGACACGCGTCTCTAGACGCTAGAGTCCAGCGTCGTTTCCGTAAGAAAGCGTAGAGGCTGGTAGAATTGGTCCTCAAAGGTTTGTATACGACACTAATCATAGTATGATTAATGTCGTGTTGCACTCGAATCATTTGACATGCCGTAAGTTCGATTATTTTCCTAATTCAACGTTGCGTCGTGTTCAGCTAGCTACTGTCTGTCAACAGTAGTTGTACTCTACGATTTCATGTTCGGTAGTATCTAGCAATTATATTATTCTCGTCATACCATGTGGTCGGGTCCCTGTAAGGCAATAGACTTTTTACAGTTTTATCTTGTATGAACGCTTCCAGCCTTCTCTTACTTGATCGGCTAAGCAGAGTCGGAGTGAACGCATCGTGCACACTACGGCGAACTCTAACGACGACGACGACGACAGCAGCACTACAGCATAGTCGTCGCAATGCAAGTACTGCTAGTGGGCCCGAGGTGGCTTACCAGGATGCAGCACATTTTGCCGGATATCAGGTGAACCAAGGCTTGACTATGCAGATCTCTCTTCTGGGAGGAGGGTTCAACTTGATATGTAGATCAACTATTCTCTGGATAGTAGCCCGACATTCTCCCTGTATTGAGAATACTAATGCATATCATGCGGAGTCCTCCGCTGAATGATTCATCGAACCCTGAGGCATGAATACTCATGTCGACTGTGCGTTGATGGCAGCAACGATAGGGAGTGTCCCTCATCACTCCGTGGTCTTCTCAGACATTCGACCTGCCACAGCCGTTACCCTTGGATAACCACCCTACTAACCCGCTCAAAGGGGCACGAGTAGCTTTCGAGACCTGGGGACAACTCAATGACCGCAAGGACAATGCTGTTCTACTACACACTGGTCTCAGTGCCAGCTCTCACGCTAGGAGTACGAGTATCTTTTCAACGGAGTTCATAGATATTCACAGGTACTGAATGCATCCCAGCACCTGGCTGGTGGGAGAACTTCATCGGTCCAGGCCATGCTCTCGACACTGACAAGTTCTTCATAATATGTTCTAATGTAACCTTATCATCATGATTATTATGATGTTAATTAGTTGTGGTATTGCAGGTCCTGGGTAGTTGTTTTGGCTCCACTGGTCCTTCCTCAGTGAACCCTGACACAGGCCGTCCTTATGGTGGGGACTTCCCTGTCATTACAATCTTTGATATTGTGCGAATGCAAGTGGAACTTATACGGAAGCGCTTTGGAATTGGTGAGCCTCTTGTCCATATTCCCATGAGAGAGCGATGCATTACACTGCTGTCTGTCATGCTGTTCGGACTAACATCGTCATATCTCTTCAGAGCAGTTGCATTGCAGTGTTGGTAGCTCTATGGGTGGCATGCAGACTCTGGCACTATGCAGTCGATACCCAGGGATAGCAAAGCGTGCTGTGGTAATATGGCATGCTCCTCGTTAATCATCAGAGTCTCGCCCTCCTCGCGCCTTGAAGAGCTGCATATACGGTTTGGTTCATCTGATTCCTCCCTGAACAGATTATATCGAGCAGTGCATACAGTAGCCCACATTCCATCGCTCTACGCCATGTGCAACGACAAGCTCTAGTCTCTGATCCTCACTGGCAAGGAGGTCACTATTATGACACGCCTTACTTTCCGGAGAAAGGACTCCGTCTGGCCAGGGAGATTGCTACGACAACGTACGAGGGGAGTTCACTCAATTTATGGTCATTTGTTACAACATTTACAGGACTTTGGAGCCCATGAGGTTCCCAATATCGCGAGTCAGATACCGAAGTGGTCCTGAATGGGATTCCCGCTTCGCAAGACGGCGATCCTCTGTTTTCGAGAAGGATAAAGATCGGCAAGTAGACTTGAACGATGCTCTCTTCGCTATAGAGGAGTACCTTGGGCATCAAGGCAAGAAGTGGGTCGGCACCTATGACCCCAACAGTCTGCTCTACTTATCAAAGGTGCGGCTCATAATCGCGTTCATTGTGATTGGATCCTCTAAACCGATGTGTCGTTAGGCTATGGATATGTTCAGTGTGGCCCCTGATGGAGGTACCATAGCTGATGGCCTCAAGCCTATGAAAGCTGTCCCAACGATGATTATTGGCGTAAAAAGCGACATACTTTTCCCGGTAAGTCGATGTCTACGATTCTCCGCTTCGATCCTCGTGCAGCTGGCAACAGATTGTAAGCGCTCATCGGATTTATAGCTCTTTGAAGTCTCCGTCATTGATGGAATAGTGTGTAGGTTTGGCAGCAGCGAGAACTGGCTGATGCCCTGAGAGAGGTCGGCAATAAGGATGTTGTATATTATGAGCTGGATGCCATGTAAGAGATATGCCGTGGTGTCCGCTGACATGCTGGATTCTTGCGCATCAGATTTGGGCACGATACGTTCCTCGTCGACACTACCAATGTGGTCCCAGCTGTGAAGGGGCATTTAGAATTTCATTAGTTAATCTGCTGTTCTATAGATGTGATTTTAAAACTCAGTATTTACTCACTTTTCATCTCAACTACGGCCGTGTTCAGTTCTCTCGATGACGACTGTTGGACTGGATGTTGCTGCCTCTCAGTCGAATGGTTCTTGGGGGAACTCGGGGCAGACCGGCTGCGTTCCGGGATCCAATTACTTGAGTAATTAGATGCTGAAAGACGGAACACTCTCCAGCTTTGGAAGGGAGAGTTTACACTATGATGCAACCACGAATCAGCTGACCGCTACCCGACCCAACGCGTATGATCGGGAAACAGCCAAAGTGTACTACTCCTTATAACGATACCCACACATCAATCACCAAATTCCCCACCGAATTGCATTGCCAAAGTTGTGCTGCACTATGACACTAGTGCTGCCAGTATACTTGGAGCAAGTAGCTTATGTCTACGTCGAAGATCATAATGAATGAGGACTTCATTCAGTGGGACAAGGCGCCAGGAATCGAGAATCATATACAAAGCTTGACGGATGCGAATGATTGAGCTTATTTCGGTGTGTGAAATGGTCCGCAGCTAGTATTGATCCGAGGAGTTGGCCAACCCAAGTTGTAAATCTCTCTCACACGCGACATCACTCATTGGGGAAAAAGAGAACAACACTGGCTGTAAGCATTCATGTATCTGCCATAGTCTTCTGTGTTGTGGTTCGTAGACTGTGAGTAGGTGCGTCTGACACATGCGATAACCTAATGAGGATCATGTGGAGGGCACAGTGAGCAGCAGACACTCGAACATGCGATGGAACTGCTCGTAGTCGAGACTAGTGTCTATATCGACCGGAATCCCAGCACTCTCCAAGAACGTGTCCATATCGGCATCCTGAGGCCAAGATAGGTCGCTTCGTGCAGTGAAGTGCCCCCTCACAGATAGCTTCTCCCCGAGAGTAGTAACGATGTGTCGGATGTCTTTAACAGAGACCTTGCCCGATCCTGTCACGTCAAGGACTCGGAAAGCCTGTAACACACAAGCTGTTGTGATGCACAGAACGAGTCAAACATGGACTATGGAACTCATACCTCTCTGAGACTCTTTTCGTCGCCTGGTCCGTCGGCATCCTTCAGTCTTTCATACAGTCTTGTGAATTCATGGAGATCGAGACCGTGCTCAATACCAATCTCGACCGTTAAGTCGGCTAGAGCCTCTTCGGAAATATGTATTCCTAAGCAACACAACGTCCACCTGTCTTGTGTGGATTTAGAAGCTCTCGTCGGCCTCACGGGGTTGTCCGGGGGCTGACTCCTTGCGAGAATAATCAATGATTGTGGATGCATTCGGATCAGCGATATGGTTAAACAGAGACGGAAAGATGAATCGCAATTGTATATCGAGTGCTGTTGCCTACCGAGGCTACGCAGTGCTGGACCGATATTGTTGGTCGGTAGCTGTTCATTGGAAGGGCCAGCAAATATACGAAAGCACTCCTCAATCTCTGAGGAATCGATTTCAGCCATTCGCACGGTCAGGGAAGCTGGCAGGGGAAGTAACGTAGAACATGAATGGATTCGAGCAAGAGAATTAGTTCAATTCTCAACAGCACATGTTGAGAGCTCCAACGTGCGCTGATGATGTCTCGGGTTCGATCCCCGGCGATGACGTTTCTCCTCCAATAATTCGGGACGTGCGCGACTTGGCGTCGCTGACACGTACTGCGTCGTTGATTTACGATCTTCCTAATATTAGAGCTTTAATGTCGTAAGGTTGAGCTTTGAATCAAACGAGTAACCATGCTTGACATCCTAGACAGTCGCAGTCTGTCGGACAGACAAACCCTGCGACAAAGGGCACAGGGATGTGGGATGCGACTCCGGAAAATGATCAGTAAATCTGGCGCGGCTGGAGTCACCATCTTCGATTGGGATGACACTCTCTTTCCAACCTTTGATATTTGTTCACGACGAGACATGACTAGGGAATTCTGGTAGGCCTGCTAGGTGATCCATGTAGGTCGTTATTATCTTTGTATCAGGGATGAACTACAAGAGCTTGCTCTAGTTGTGGAAGGATTGCTCAAGTGCAGTCTTCGACTGGGCCCTGTCATCATCGTAACTAACTCCAAGCAAGGTTGGGTAGAGTATTCTGCTCAGACCTACTTCCCCTCTCTGTCTAGGGTAAGTAGGGCGGCTTGGGTATAGTCTTGGCTGCTGACGCCTCTTCAAAGGTCCTGCGACACTGTCGCATTATATCTGCTAGAACTACGTATGAGGAGCAGTATTCCGAGAATCAATATACGGACACTTCTTCTTTATGGAAGTTCCTTGCTTTCGCTCATTTATCCAGCGAGTTTAAGCCCTCTCAGGTAAGTGTGAGCATCGTTATTGTCCCCGATTGTGATAGGCTCTCTTCAGTTGATCTCGATAGGAGATTCTCTGAAAGAACGGCAAGCGTGCTTAAAAGTGACCGCTGCCTCCACGTACCATTGCCTCCCAAAAAGCGTCAAGTTGGTCAGTGCTCCAAGTTGTGAAACCCTTATTCATGAGCTCACCATTCTTAGAAGGGCTTTTCAAGTAAGCCTAGTAGCAGAGGCTCAAAGTCCACTCGACTTGGTTATATTCAGGATCTATTTACATTCAATGGAATGGTGGACATTTCGTTCAATGGAGAGAACTACGAATTGCAGACCGCTGTTGATCTGTAGATATCTCTCTGTTGGTTCACACCCATTGTCGTTGCCGCTCATCCATCAGCAACAGCAATAGTCTATACAGAAGTAGTAATACTTGTAGTTATCCTCATCTGTGGTAACAAAATTCAGAGAATAAAATTTCCTGAACTAGGACTCTTGGGCATCGTCGTCGTGGCCATGGTCGGTCCGCTACGTCCGTTGTGACGAGCAAGGCGGGCTTCAGTTCCCATTACGGGTAGACGGGCGGCACTCTGAGCCGTTCATCCATTCCGACACTCTCTAGTCAGTCACTTTAGAGTCATTTTGTACTGCAGACCACTCGATAACGACGACTGTTATTGTTGCTGGTAGCGGACATTCTTTGCGATTGCGGTTTTCTGCTGGTGTATTCTCATTTTATTCTCTCGCCCTTCGATGTACAATTGATGAAATAGCTTTCGTACTACGACACTTTGATCATCATAATGATTGTAGTGAAAACATTTCCCATTATGGACCGTTCGGTCCGTTGTGGTTCCTCTCGACAGCCAACCGCGATAGAGATGAGAAACCACGCTTCTACCGGTGCGACTGTGTAACCAGTGGTACCATCTTCTTGAGTATTCGAACTACTCAAAATACCCCATATCGTCTCCGTGCCCATCCACTTCAACAGCCGTCGTCGTGTCCTACTTTACATGAAGACATCCTTGGCATCCAGCTCATTGATACAGCGAGCGGCGCTACGATTCATCATTACTACTATCATATCTCTATTCACAGCAGCGTTGCCTGCCGTATCATTAGTAGCAGTATCGTACAGCTCATAGTCATAGATGTGGGTGGCCTTGTCTCACCTACAGAGTAGTGATGCCAGTTTTCTCATATTCTCCCTGGTTTTGTTATCACCGCCATGCATGCAAGTATTGGGTCTTCGTTCCTTGTTGTAGTATCCTTTGTAGTGTTGATGACACGCCCATCTCGATGGGCAGTGCGGAAGGCGAGTTCAGAGAGTAGTCCTCAGAATCTTCGGGAACGGGCGGTAAAGCTCGCCCACAACTCCCATATGTACTCTTCATGCAATCCACGGAAACTGGTAGTACACGTTGTCCTGGAGGTGTGGTATGTGTTGACTGGTGTATTTATCTAATGATCTTAGGTATTAGAGCCCAACGAGCCAGGGGTTGAGCTTGCCAGGAACTACCTCCTACGGCATCCAAAAGAACAGCCTGTGTACTGCCGGATTGTTATCGTTGTGTGGGAAGATTGTTACTGTGCAGATATGGCAACACGGAGCTCGTACGAAAAGAAGTTATTCACGTTGGTGAAAACTCCGCCGCATTGCCTAAGCTCACTTTACCAATCATCATTCGATCTGATGAGTCTAATAGTAATAAGATATCGGCTACAACCAGAAGCAGTGCCAGGTAAGAGCATGGGTCATGGGACTGTGTTTGGTGTTGTTATGATTTGCTCTCAGTGCGCCATTGACTTCGAAGTTCTTGAAGGATGTGAGCCCATCCGCTTCTACTGTTGAAGGATCGTCGCTTCGCCGTCTGTGATGAGAAGATAGTCGTTATGAATGAGTGATGCTCCTGTGTGTAACATATTATATGTGCACAGGCGGCAACCACACTCGAAGAAGTATTATTGATGTTCTTCATAATCCACTGCTCATTCTATGCCGTGATCAACATCGTGGCTATATTATTATAACTTTTCTCGAACTCGTAGCGTCACACCTTTTAACGCCGACGTCACGAGCATTATTAATGTTCGTCTCGTTGCTCTATTCGCCGTGCTCAGATTTCGTAGTATGGCGTTTCGTATCGTGAGTTCGTCGTCTAATACTGTATGTAACCACTGAAACTACAGTCTATCATAGGCACTTGTGCCCATGGTAATAGTTTGACCGCTCTGCTCGTGGGAAGGGTTCTCAGGCTGAATTCTCCCCCCATTATCGGAGTGAAGTTTGGCATTCTCATAATCCGTAACTTGAGTTATCGTCCTCTCCCTGTCTTGACTAACCATAGCTTGTCTTTGTAGCACTTAGGTGTCTCAGCCTCCTACACAGCATCAGGACTCGAGGCCGTAATAAGTTTTGCCATGCTATGGAATTGTCGGTCGGAATAGGGATGTTGCTCATTGCTTCGGTTAAGAGTGTGTTGTCGTCGTAGTTGTAGTAATAGTAGTTGCATTTCTGAACCATACGTGCTTATCCCATGCTTGTCGCATCACCTGCATGTAAGTGGTTCGTGCGGTATCATTTACTGCACTGGTTGTTCTAAGATAAGTACTACATTCTTTTATGAGGGATATCTATAACCATTATTAATGTTGTACTCCGCCATTGTTCGCTGCTGTTTGACTATGAGGAGTGCTGGTGACACTGCCTGGTGACACTGCTTGGTGATGCAGAATTCACGTATATCTGTTAGTTAGCGGTGTGTCCAATACGAGCTATTCTAAGTTCTATTGTGTGCTAACCCAGCTCATACTCCTCTACCGTCCATTGTATCCAGCTCGTCGTGGGCTGCTGATATCATCATTGTCGGACGTTTGCTATTGTTGCAGCGTTACATAGGAGTGTCATACTTACGTCTGTTGTGTTTCTAGTAGTGGGGTTCATGCAAAGACCACATTGCACTACATGAGATCTATCACGAAAAGATGCGTACTACGACAGTGTGTAGTAGATCGTTCTCGAATTACTCGACTCTAACATATATCGAGGTTGAACATCGGATTTTCGTCCACCCACAAGAACTCAAGGGACAGTTTTTGTGTCGAGCTGTTGATTCTGTAGTGTTGATAGTGCTAGAAACCAGATTTGTATAGTAAATTCAAAATGGTTATGTCAGCATCGATATTAGCGGGGAAGACTCTCCTCAAAAAGGACGGCAGTGCTGTAAGTGCTGATGAAGTGATGCTCAAAAAGGACATCATTGCACTGTACGTTATCCTTACGAAGTTGCGTATCCGCTCCGGCGATCTCCTAATGTTTTACTTGAAATTCCGATCTCGACAGAGTTTTAGTCTTTTCCTGTACTTGTCCTAGGTATTTCGCTGCCCACTGGTGCCCCGATTGCAGAGCTTTCACCCCCACTGTTAACAAATTCTATGAAGTGAGATATAATTCCCTGGCCTTTTAGTTAAAGCGCGGATACTATTAGTCAGTACTGAATAGCAATGTGTATTTGCTTCGCGTATTGATGGTATAACAATGTGGAATGTCTCGCGCGCTTCACGTGAATTCCTCCTTCATTTACTTTCCTCTAGACAAAATGCATAAGTTGGTGAGTTTCTGTTCTGATTAGGATGTGAAGGCCAAGAATCCCGACAAGTTGGAGATCATTTTCATTTCGAGTGATAAGTCGGAGAATGAACAGGTGATCGGAGGCACAGACACCTGCAGTTAGTGTTATAGTCGGTGCAGGTCGCTTACCATCAGAACGATATGCCCGATTGGTTGAGGGTTCCTTTCAACGATAAGCGCACTCGTGCTGTACTGAAGAAGGAATATGGTAAGTGTTTGGGCTGCAGCAATCCCTCCTCAGCAACGAATTGTAGGAGTGTGCGCTAAGAAGGAGATGGAAGATATTGGAATGAGCGATTCGCAACGGAAGGCTGGAATCCCGACGCTTGTGGTGAGATACTCAGTGTTGATGGGAAATGCTCTGTTCTGCGGAGCATGCCACTGTTGCAGGTACTCAGCAAGAATCGCAGAACAGTGAAGGTTTTCGACGCAGGCGCTGATATCGAAAAGTACGGCGATGCAGCTGTTGATCGTTGGTAGATGTGCGCTTTTCGGAACCTGTGTTACTGCCCTTTGTTCATTATCACAAGCGCTGTTACTCGCCGTTCTATTAATGTCGTGTTTGACGTTAGTATGAGTACTTTGTACTAGCACTGTGAGTATAATCGAGCGGACTGGATTTATTACTCACAGTGTTAGTCGGCTAGTACTGCCGATGTGTCATTTTGAGAGTCTGGAATTCAGTCTCGTATTTAGACCATGCTAAATCTCCGAAGAGAGCGTAAAATGTCGTCATCAATCATTTTCACTTAAGGATACATGAGAACAGTCATAGGTAGTCCGTGAACTTTGTGATGTTGGGATTTTATTACATGTAGGGGTCAACATTATATAAAAGTTGTTGAGAAGATGAAACCGTCGTTGAATCATCCGAGTTCAATATATTCGCTGAAGTACACGTGATTCAATTTTCTCAAGCATTGCTCTCCTTGGTCATGACATTGTCATTATGACACGTTACAAACATACGCTGTTACCAAACATGCAACGGCTCGATGAATAACGTGGTGAATGAACATAAGCAGTATTGGGACAAGGGTCAGGTTTTCCTGAATTCAACTCGAGGCGTAGATGTGTTTCGCCTAAAGTACCCCTTTTGTGGACCCCCCTCATAGGCACTCACGTATCTGCGTTAAAACTTGTGTATTCCCAAACTTGAGCACGCTTCAAGTTCTCATAGACGCAAATCTACGGCGTAAGAAACGATAATTACAGGGCAGTGCTCTTTGCTAACTGATTGTATCTGACGGAGTGTACGAGTCAACGAGGAGTAAGCAAGCAGACGTTTCCACAGAGCACCTGCTACGGGTTGAACTTACGCAACTCTGGTGAACTCGGAGCCGGCCAACGTCATGAAGTCTTCAGCTGTGAATGCCACAGTTGCGGGCCCTGCATGAGCGAGAGCCTCCTGTCGTAGATCCCCAACACTGAGACTATCCTCAGCATCTGGATCGGGGTCGGTGTATCTGTACACATCGGTCTTCCTCTCCCTTGTGCCATGCATAATGTATCTTCCACTCAGCCCCACTGCACATCGTCAATATGCAGGATGCACTCCACATGCAAGTCCAACAGAGGAACAGAACGAGATAACGCATGATATTCGATTATAAACTATCGTCCAACAGCTTAGATGTAACCAAACTGTTAGCATACTTCCCTCCTGACTCACCGCGGACTGAAGTGAGTGAGCGCCAGGACCTTAGCTCCACACAAACGAGCGAACTGGCCAGCCATCGCCGCCGTTGAATGACCGAAATCGACCGCCTTCTCCCTCATAGCATCGTGGTAGGTGCACTCGTGTATGAGCAGGTCTGGCCCTTGTAAATAGGGTAGAGCTTCTGAACCTTTGGATAGATATAAGGCATAGCTGAATAACCCTGACCTACTGTCACAAGTGTCCTGCAAAACAGCGATGGTCCGGCCCTTTGCCGTCTCTCCGACGACTTCCGCTGCTCGTATGAGTGTCCCTTAATGAGAAATAGGAACCGAACATATCTAAATCTTACCATCACTGAGGGTAACATCTCGACCTTCCTTCAAATCTCTGAACTGTGGTCCACGGGCTCCCATCTGAGCGGCTAGGGATGCGTTTAATGCACCAGGCTTATCCGGTTCTGTGAATATCTGAGCAGCGACTCGTGGACCACAGGGACGGGATCGTCGGTAGAACTCACGTATCCCAGAGTGGGTACTCGATGCTTCAGTGGAGCCGCATGGATTCTTACATCACCACTGCTAATGGTGAACTCGGTGTGCTGAGTTGGATCTAGTTCGACGATATTTAGGTCGTATCTGTTGCAATAGAATGGCGATTCGGCGATGGTCTCTGTACTTACCCATTCCAGCCTCCAGAGAGGGCGAAAACAGTCTCGATCATGGTCTTGATGCCTTGCGGACCATACACAGTAATAGGCTCTGTACGCTCCCCCATGCAACAGGAGTGCAATAGACCGAAGATGCCATAGCAGTGATCCCCATGCAAATGCGTTATGAGAATATCATCTATCTTCGTCAGTTTTATCTTGGACAGCATCAACTGGTGCTGCGTGGCCTCACCACAGTCTACTAGTATCTTGAAGGGGGGTAGCAGGATACCTCTCGGAACTGTGTTAGCATCGATCCTCACTGATCGGCCGGTCCTCAGTGTTATGGCTAGAGAGCTGACATTCCGTTTGCCTGGCTGGGGAACTCCACTACTCGTGCCAAGGAAAACAACTTGGTCGAAGAAAGACATCGTTGGCCAAGTTGCTAGGAACGCTAGGACGAGGCACTAGTCGACTCACACTCAATTGGTTGACTTCATGGGAGTCTTATAGGAACAGGCTGGGGAGAGTGGCATAGACTTTTCGAGAATTTACAGTTCCATGTACATGAATGAAATTGCCAGTGACAGTGTGGGATCGTCGAGACCCTGATGCATTGAATTGCCCTCTCAGCGTGTCGGAACTCTAGATGATGTGCTCCTGGTCGACCGCCCTGATGGACACATAGTCATCGTGCTCATCAAGCCGATACATCAATGCTCATGGCATCACGCATACTATACGTCGCATAGAATACCCCCACCTCCGACTAGGATAACACTACAACAAAGTTAAAGAAAGTGTACCTGGACATGCCACATGCTTTGAGGGCGAGCCGCCCAGACGACACTGCAGTGAGATACATACTGAACATCGACGCTGATAACTTCGGATAACACCCTGAAATGAAGACTGCCAAGCCCTCCTCAGCATGGACTGTCATGCAGGTAGTGGACTAGTAAAACGGGACAGCACTGATATAAAGTACGCAGTGAAGAGGTAGGTAGAGCTCAATTCGAACAAAAATAACTGTGACGAAGACAGGGCTCTCCGATACGGTCCGCGGATGGATGAGCGTACCAACACCTAGTGACAGGAGACTCTCAAATGAGCTTGCACCATTGATTGCTGTGTCCCTCCGCAACGATCGCTATGAAGAACTCCTCGTCAAGGAGTGCATCACGACTGTCTACGCATGTTGACGGCACAACTCTGCTACTCTTATATGATGGACTCAACAACACAACAAACCGATGACTATGATGTGGTAGAATGATGGTGTTCAACTGATTGTCTCATCTACTTATATAATGGATACTCAACGACACAGCGTGTATCGATGAAACGTGAGAGCTCAATAATACATTGTAGGGAATCACTATTAGTGATGAGGAAGGTCGTCTACCTCCCCTACCACGTCATTGAGGCTTATAGATCCTACTGAGGACCGGACGGCATACAAAAGCAATAGGTCGTAGTAGAGGGGAAGAGGGAGCCCATTATTCAGTTGTCCAACAAACAACATAGCGTGCAGCAAGCACAAGCTCCTAAAAAGAAAACTGACTACGACTACAACATAGCGTTACTCACCTAGTAAGAACGCACAGCAGGCATCGTCAGAATTACTCTTTCCTTGATTAGGAGAATGTGTAGTGTAGATAACTTGCTGAGGAGGAGCGTTATAAGGCTGTCCATAGGGTGGAGGCTGCGAGCCAGCATTGTATCCACCATATGGGTTACCATTTGCATATGGTATGTTACTGGACGGGGGATTATATCTAAGGGAGGAGCAGCCAGATAGATTTATGCTAAAGATAGCTCAGCCGTCATCATCGCCTTACGGAGGGGCCGCTCCTGAACTCCCTGGGGTTTGCACCTGCAATACAAGAAGGATAATATTGTCGTACAACCTGTAGCGTTCCGCAACAGCAAATCAATAGTGACCTAGAATGGCGCTCTGGAGACGGCGAGACTCAGACCGAAATCGCATGAGTCGAGTGATGATGATGATGATGATGCAGACGATCGAGTGCTATCCAACTCACCTGGAATGTCTGACCAGAGTACACACCCTGAGGTACTTGAACTTGGAGAGGTGTACCGCTAGTTGGATCAACAATCTGAATAGTGCTCCCTGGTGATGCCCCAACGGGTACTTGGACTGTGATGACAGCCATGTAGAACACTAGGAAACTACCAGGACGAGGAACTACGCTAGATGGGAGCTGCAATTGTGAGACATTGAAGGGGTTGCTCTCTCTCTCTCTCTCTCTAACCCAACTGATAGAGAACAATGACACGTATTGATCATAATTAGAAAGGAATTCATTTAGGAGGTTTATTGCTCTCCCATAATAGTCGTCATGATAAGGCCAATCATCAACATGTCAATTGAACCTCATACGTTATAGACGTTAATCATCATCACCAATCTCCCTCGGGACTAGGAGCTCTGAGAGTGATATTCACGTGAGTGCAATCCAGAAACTCTATCATCCAGAAGGGGTGCTGAGCAAATTGTTGTAGGCACCCTCACTATCAAGGGAGGATGCTATCACTCGTCGCTCCTCAGTCCACTCAACAGATTGACTATCACCATCGACAGCAGTGTCGTCTTTATAATCGGCCCATTCACCAAAGTAGTGCCATCTCAGATCGATAGTACTGTCTGTATACCACCAATTGCCACCCTCTTCAAACCACTTATATTCCATAGCCCTCTCTTCATCGTATGTATCGCTCCTTGGGCTCAACGGGGTACCACTATCCTCACACTTGCTCCCATTTGCCGTGAGTAGAGTACTTTGTTAGTCATAACCTCACCAGGTCTCTGTGGTTGCCGACAGAATGCGCACATCATCCTCCCCACACCCCTGGAGTGAGAAAGCTCTTGCACATAGATTGTGGCCGCAAACGGATAGGAACTGTGAGCCATACGTGAGGTATGTGTACAGGGATGTATTGGCTCACCATAGGAGAGTGATGAGCTCTATCAAAGGCAGCTGAGCAATACTCACTATCGTGGAATGATTCGGCCATTGGAGAGCAATGACCCCAATCTAGATCATACCCCTGTTCTCTCATGATGACCACTATCCCAGAAGCCGTCTCCAACTATTATCCCGAATCCACATGAATGCAGCGGTGTGGACTGAATTTAATTGGTTCTCTGATGCTCATTTCACTATTGTTGTTTTCGTATTTGAAAACCCTCTTAAGTGTTACCTCGAGTTGAGATCTTCGCCTGTCAATCCTTGCAATAACCTGGGCATCACAACATCCCTTTGGAGTGGGTTGGTTATCCACTCTAACATCGAATTATGCGCTAACAGACTCACGCACACGTCAATCCGGCATGCGTCACGTAAACTTCACTTTCTCAATCATCTAAGGAGAGCGTAAGATTTCTAAGAGACCGCTCTCGCTCGCCCTCGGAATTTCCAAGCCAGCCCGCGCTAACAACTGACATCCTCCTCGACGCAAGCTATGGAGTGTATGTACATCTTCAGAGCTAATACCCGACCTTATCGCATCGCGCTTGAGCCATGACCTTAGTGACGCCTACCGTCTCGTTCTACCTCGTATTCGGGTAGGTAAGGACGAGCACGGGGGCCACGACGCGGTTCAAGGTCACGGACGGCAGGATGGGGGCCCCGATCTTGAAGGCGAGGTCGATGGGCGGCTTCACGGTCGGAATGGACTGAGTGGTCCGATCCCGACTGCCCAGAAGCCGTACGTCTGAAAAAGAGGCACAATCAAAGACCTTCCAACCCGAACGTGTGTTTGACTTACTCGCTTCCAGCCTCTCCTTCCATGATCCTTACATTCCCTGCAAGGATCTGCGACGCCTTGGGGAGGTTGGCCTCGATGGTTGAGTCCAATCTCCCGGGCGCGTGGAGGTTCACGTAGGTACCATGAACTCTCCCCAGCCGAACATGTCGGCTGTGCGCCCGCGTCGCTTCCAACCGGGACTCCTCGAGAGCAGCCAAGTTGTACGACCCGAATACTGTTGTTGAAACAGTAGGGGCCGTACGTCTTGACTGCTCTCTCCTCCCTTCTTCCGCTCTTCCCTCCAGGGCTCTAGCACCCATGTTGGACACTAGAGCGTCTTGCAAACGAACTACCTGAAAAGGAAACAATTTTGGAGTGTTCCTTCGAATTCGTGTTTCTTACCGCTCTAGGTCGGATCGTACCGAATCCTTGCATTTCCACCTGCTCCCACAGGCCGAGATACTTCAACCATTTGACGGCTGAAGTCGCGGCACTGTAAAGAGCGTCGTAATCGCCTCGTGCCAATCCACCTCCTGGAATGTTAAGTAACCTTCTCAGAAAGGTGTTGGCATGGTGGTCATGCAAGAATACCTGAGGAAAAGGGTTTTGGATCTAGGGTTCGGGATAGGCTTCGGACTTACCAGCCTATCTTCGGGCGTAGCTCGACTGCGAGCAGTCAGGTGCGCCGGTCTGACGCTCCACAAAGTTTGTGGCACAAACGGAGAAGATCGTGGAGCACAATTGGAGAGAGTCTGTTAAACTCCCTCTTCTTGTGTCCAGCAAACCTTCGAATGTTTAAGTCGATATACGACTTAGGAGCATCGGAATCGGCGTACCATAACCCATGAGTCACGAGCTTCGCACGAAGGTCGTCCCAGTTTTGACCTCGTCGAAAACACTCCAGGGCCCTAAGAAAGTAAGTATCCCGAACCCGAACCCGAATCCTTAAACCCTTACCTTCTTGCTACATATCCCTGCCTGCCGGAGTGCAACCCGAAAAACTTTACCCCGTAGCCAGCACGCTCGCTCAAGCACCGAATTTGCGCACCCAACAAATCCGGTTCGAGCGCGTGGCCGTCATAATCGGGAAAAAGTAAAACGGATCCGGCTCCATAGTTCGTGTCGCTGCGCAGCTTCAGATAGTCATCAAGACACGCTGCCGCAGCTCCACGTACTACGACTCGACCCTAAAAGAGAGAGGAATGATTGTAAAGAGTTAGGGTTGATATGAATGAAAGATTTATGCGAGCGAAAGAATAGGACGAGCGAGAGGATATAGGACGAGCGAGAGAAGAGGACGAGCGAGAGAATAGGACGAGCCAGAGGATAGGACGAGCGAGAGAAGAGGACGAGCGAAAGGATAGGACGAGCGAGAGGATACGAAGAGCAAAAATCTCACCTGTTCGCCTCTTAATGTCTTACAGTTAGGAAGGATGAAGGTGTAGACTAGATCGCAGTCATGTCCTTCACCTTCCCTAACTGGCCAACCTTGGTCACCGTCCATGCCTTCGTATGTCGATGAGCCGGTTTTACCTGACATGAAATTCTCACACAAAAAACACCCGTTCTTTACTTACACCACTGGCCTCTAGGGGAACGTCCAGCCTCCTCGGCGCCCAATCTTCTCACGTGTGGTTCCAACACACGGAGAAGATCCTGAACGCGAGCCCCGGTTTCAGTTGTGAGCCGAATAACGGCTTTTAACACAACGTCCGCCGGGGACCTCCCCAGGGCTGCTACTATTCGCTCCTCATCCACTGGCCACAGCGGGGCAGCGTGGCCATGAGTATTAGCGAATTCTGATTTACGCTTAATAAAACTATCCATTATCGCGTAAGCATCCTCGTTCTTCAACTCCATTTGGGAGTCGAAGAGGAGGATGTCGCGATGATAGGTGCGTAAACTAGTTAGTAGCAACCCCAACTCATTGTGAGCCCAGCTTTGATACTGAAGTGCTCCACAATGAGGGGAGTCTCGCAGCTCACCAACTGTGGCACCGAGGACTCGGAACAACATGTACGAGGCGAAGACGTCGGCTGTTAACGGGACGTCTCTACGAGCCTGAAAAGTCTCTCCTGAGTCTCTCCTTTGACATACACTTCCCATCAGTATCGACCAGAAATACATCGCCAGGGCCAGCCTCTTCCATTCTTCGCATATTCAGCAGACACTCGGCAGGCTGCCGACGGCAGCGCGGACGGGGCACAGATCTTTACCCCGGGCCGTTACTGAAGGCCTCACACGAGCATCCGTGATCCCTCATAACGCCAATAGCCTGAGTGTCGGTTGGCTGGCCGTCACCGTCAGCTCAACTTTACCAATTATATGGGGTAGAGAGCACATCATCGACCTTCAGCTTGCATAACTCGTCGCCTCAGCAAGAACCACGAGCCCAAAACATAGGCATTCGCTCGAAGAGTTTCTTGAGGACATTGCAGGTCTGACCTGCCAGGTCATCACCTGCAGCTCGCATGGTGTAATTGGTCTCGCACGCTTAGGGGGCCGATACCTCGGATCAAGGAGCGCTTGACTCTCGATAGACATGCCTTCTCCACCGGTCCCAAGGAATGCCCCGACACAGAGTTGTGGGTACAAGCGGCTGCCAAGTAGTCGCCGCCGCTACGGTAATTGGCCGCTTCTAAGATAGACCCTACCAGCTCGATGTTGGCACAGCTTACCGGGAACGCAGCTACTCCTTGGGACTGACAGATCTCCATCCACAGTTTTATACGAGAACACTTAGACCGTCGAGTAGAGTCTGCATACATATCACATTCCAGCTCCTTCATAGCCTTCTTAATACTCCCTCGATTAGGAGCTGGCCGACGGCGACGCCCGGAAGGTGAAGGCGAACTCATGGAGGAAAAGGACGATGAACCTACCTGACAATCAGGAGGAGGCATACATTATGAAAGTCGGACTCTCAGGGACAACCAATGGAGCCAAAGTGGATCCAAAACCCCCCAAATCACCCAACCGTAACCACAAGGCGAGTGGCACGCGCGATATAGACGCGATCACCCAAACCCGAATCGAGAGTAAGGGTGTGAATCCGTCGGTGTCATTTCCGAGCCACAAATCGAGCAGCCCCTATTGAACTCCTAGTCACTGCGCGACAGGGGAGCCAATAAATGGAAAAAAAACCTGCTACACTCAAAGTCGAATTTAGACTCTTAGATCGAGATTCACGATTGCTGAATCAAGATCCGCGCTCTTCTATCACAGAAGGGCAGGGCCCCTGCCCTTCTGTGATCCCTGCCGCAGGGGAGCACAAGTATCCGAGAAGACGAACGGAACGTAGGAGAATTCCTCTTAGCGAGTCTGAGCCACTGCATTGGCTGCTGAATCAGCAGTGCTGATCGACTGCACCATCTAGACTCGGCCAGCGTGCTACGTCACGCGCATACTCCCAAGATCGCATTCATCCCAGAAAGGCATCCCGCAAAGGACATAGACTCCTTTCCACTCCCACGAGTCTCGTGGCACGAGACAATCGGGTACAGACTTCCCTTCCTCAAGTCGACTCAGCGTGTCGGCGAGGACATTGCTAGAACCGCGCACATGACGATAGCGGAGTTCTAATTACCTCATGTCCAACGCGGTCATTATGGACACAGTCTGACCAAGCGACCTAGAGTAGCAGAGGACGACCTCCTCCGAATCACGACGCTTAAAGCGACCAGTGAATAAGGATTCCGCGGCCACTCGACTGCAGTCCTCAAGACGATGTCTCCAGAGCTTCAAGGCGACAATGACCGCGAGCAGTTCGAAGCACGATTGTGACTTACAGGTGCCACGGCCTACGCCCAACCACTCCACATCCACATCCGAAATGGCATCGGCAAAATATGCCACCGCCGGTGGCCCACCGGGACCACCTTGTCGTGTGGTGAACCCCACATTAGGAGACCGCCGATGCCGACCGTAGATGCGTCCACCACGATACACACCCGACAAGGCAGTCTGCATGATAGTCTATACGTGCGGGGGAGACAGTGATCCACCGAACGGGAGCATCGTGACAGTGCGTCCCGGTATAATGATCATAGCCACCATAAGTCATCATAGACACCCTTCAGAGAAATATACGATTTACCTTCTCTATGAGCAAACGCCGACAATCGCCATAGCGGAGCCAATAAGCGTGTACATAAGGTATTACATTGCCTATGTGTCAGGAACTCAGAAGGACCGTGGAACAAATACGCACCTACGACGTACAAGCTTCTCTCTTAAAGTGAGAACATCGAGTGCAGAGAGATAGCCAGATTCAAGTCGATCGTGATGGTAAAGTTGACTGGGTAGAGAGTGATAGTCAAAATTGGCACTACGGCAAATTGGAACTCATGGTATGCCGCGGTCGGTCTGGATCTTCGCACAAGATGATGGAACTCGACGAATTCTCAGAGGATGAACGAACCCAAGCAGACCGAAGTGGAAAACTTGCTACTATGAAAAGATGTGTGGAACGAAGTAGACAAATCGGTAAAGACAACAGAAGTATAGGAGGAAGAGGAAATGAATTGGTCTCACAGTGTTAGGGTGGCATCAACTCCAACTGCTTTGCCCATGGCTAGCAGTTCCTTTCTGAATAGACCTTCTAGCTTATCCCAATCCTTCACCACAGTAGGGTCCAGCGTTATGTTGTAGTAAATCTCACCATTGTACGATACAAGAGTCACCTGAATGGATTAGATAACAATATAGGAAGAGAGCTCCAACACACTACCTGTGGTATTGCATTAAGAAACATGGCCTGTGTACCAGTAACCTCTTTGCCAGCAAAGTACTGACTAACTGCTGGACCCCTCACATTGCTGAATATTGCGGTGTGGTTGGCGAACACTTTCCTCGCTGTTTTTTGATAAAACCCAATGGGGGCGCGAGCGAATAGATTGTTCATCATCCAGAAAGAGACCTTAGCCTCCAAGCTATGCTTCACGCGTTTCATGATCCTATTAGTGGCTAATAGGCGTGACTCGGGATCATCAGATCGGATGGACTGACAAGACCAGCAGTACATTGCATAACTCCACTCGAGAAGATTGACTCTACCTTAGAGAGATCAGAGCTGCAGAATGCAAAACCGTTAGTTAGTCTATCATTAGCAGGCATATCATCCAGCTTGGCCTCGAACCCAAAGGGGAGAAGCATTCTCATCACTGTACTTGAGTTAACACTCTTCCCGGAATAGGCTCGGATAGCTCCCACAGTGGCAGAGAGCAGTACGTCATTAACGGTGGTCTGACAGGTATAACAGCTTATTGACCGATCCATTTGGAGTGTGGAGCTCTTACCTTCTTAGGTGTTCTCTTAGTAATGGCCTTGACATACTCTAGGGAGAATGGTTTGAATAATACAGCCCTTCTCGAACCAGACCATCGCATATCCCCACCACGATGCTCTCTAGGAGTATTGAAGGTAAATGAGCTTTCTAATGGCATGTAGCATGCCCAGAGAAGGACACAGAATGAACGCACCTGCAATGATTATTCACAACCAATGTGTTCAGGAGCCATATGCAAGCAGCTTACGTATTCAATCGCCATAAGAAGGGCCATAATGATATTGTTCTTGGTGGGAATGACAGGTTTCTTTGAATGACCGACCTCAACTGGCGAGCCATCAGCATTGGTGGCCATGGACTCATACGCAGGAAGCTGAGATGTCAGGATAGCCCACCCGCTACTACACGCCGGACTATTGCCGTCTTACCAATGATAGACCATCACCGATCGAGTGATGAGACCTGAATATTATACAGTCATCACCTGTAGTAACAGGAAGCATGTGAACTTCCCATGCTGGTTTAGTCAAATCTAGAGCATGACTGATGACCTGAACAGGGCTAGAATAACCCCTAAGACTCTCAGTCTTCTACTGTGTACGTCATTGATCTCATCCTCAAGTGCCTCGTTATTGGCGCATGGAGAGTGCATAATAACATGATCATCGATGTTCACCTTCACAGATCTCCAAGTTTTACTCTCGAAGTCGGGAACAGAGGAGAAACGATGGAAGTAGAGGAGCTGCCATGGAATAGACCAACCACAGCTTCTAAGACATTCATCTACCTTATCCTGGAGTAGTTTCTCGACTCTCTTTTTCTCCGGCAGACCGTCCTTAAAGTACATAGCCGAGTTAATAACCATGCAGGTTGGTGAGGAATGCTGACTCGCAGGGAAAGTATCATTCTTAAGCATGTGCTCTTCCAACCAGGTCATGCGAAGGTGATGCTCGCCTGATAATAGAACCGAACCGATTCACGAAATAAAAGCTCGTGGCAAACTCCATATATGAATCAACATATCTCAAACTCTGTGCCCATACCTCCTCACCTTGAGTAGTAGCCTTATCAGAGTTCTTCTCACCGCTATTCCAATATAGGTATCCAACAAGGGCTAGAACAACAGCAAGAGAGATCCAGGAGACTGCAAAGGCGCTGGCAGACAGGAGGGCCAAGAATGAGCCGAATAACATCATGAAGACGAACATGGCGAGGCAGAGGCAAAAAACAGTAACAGCAACTTGGAGAACAGTAAGTACTAGATAGAGGGAGTGCGCATCAAAATGCTATGCTCTCCCCGTGATAACGTAGGAATGTCTGCTGAGCCTCTATGAGGACTCGGATGTGGGTCAAACACTGCCAAACACAATGCCCCGTCCCTTATCGATGATGAAACCGCACAAGACGCTCGAAGGATTCCCAGAGGTAACAACCTATCATTATAGGAAGTACACACTATACAAATATCGAGGGGAACAACTAGGTCAAAAAAGCACTATGGGACGGTGGGTGCATGAATATGATATGAGCTTCAGCATCACAAGGCAATGTCAGAGGGTACGCCAACTGTTTTGCCTAGTTCAAGGAGCTCCTGACGGAAAAGGTGCTCAAATCTCGGCCAGTCCTTAACAACAGTTTGGTCCAGGGCTATATTATAATACACCTTACCATTGTAAGAAATGAGAGTAACCTGAGGAGGAATAGGGTCCTCCCAATGGTGCGAGCTGGTGATGGTAAAGCATTACCTCAGATATAGCGTCCAGGAATATACCCTGTACGCCGGTGACCTCCTTACCCGCAAAATAGAGACTTTTTGCAGGGCCAGGTACATTACTGAACAGCATGGTGTGATTAGCGAAGTACCTCTTGGCAATGTATTGGTAGATCTGGACAGGTAATAGAGGGAAGAAGACATTCATAAGCCAAAACTCGACAAAGGCCTCCATGCTCTTCTTAAGCCGGTTCATCGCCCTGTTGGTAGCCATCACTCTAGACACAGGATCGGTAGCTCTTATGGCCTGGGAATATGATGATGCATTAAACCCTGAGGGGAGACCGCTCGCTACTGCCTACCTTGCTTAGATCACATGCATTGATTGAGAATGTGTTAGTGAGCCTATCAGTTGATGGTCTGTTAGGGAGGTTGGCAGGGAAGCCTAGGGCAAGGAGTGTTCTCATACTGGTAGTAGTATCATTCACTGTATCGCCAGAATAAGCTCTGATAGCACCCACACTAGCAGATAATAGAACATCGTTAACAGTAACCTATAAGAGCACCCAAGACCTAGTCTATCGGTGTTGATAATTCCGGTGGCATTACCTTCTTAGGTGTTCTCTTAGTAATGGCCTTGACATACTCTAGAGAAAATGGTTTGAATAATACAGCCCTCCTCGAACCAGACCATCGCATATCCCCACCACGATGCTTTCTAGGAGTATTGAAGGTGAATGAGCTTTCTAATGGCTGGAACACCGTGTAGAGGATATGTAAGGCTGAGCGTAACTGAATATTACAACAAGGTTACCACAATCCCTTCACCAACTCCCTACCGTATCAACCGCCATAAGGAAGAGTCCCTCAAATGTCAACTTCGAATGGGCCTTCACAGCCTTACCGGGGACGACTTTGGCTGGCGATCCATCCGCTTCAGTGGTAAGTGACTGGTACACGCTTACCTACAACGAATGATGATTCAAAAGTTTGGCGACAACGTGCAGTTACCAGGGAGAGACCATCAGCCATTGAATGGTGAGTTCTAAAGAGCATGCAGTCCTCGCCCTTCACTACTGGTATCGTATGGACCTCCCATAGGGGCCTAGTAGGATCCAGAGGTAGGCTGATTATCTGATACCACTCTTCGTGATACTACTCTCAGACCCGTTGATAGTACCTCGTTGATTTTGTCCTCCAACACTTTAGTATCGGCCACTGGGTCGTGTTGTGTAAAGTGGTCATTGACGTCAACATTGACTACATTCCAACTTCTATTGTCTGGATCCGCGACCGAGGCGAACCGATGGTATTTGAGTAACTAAGAGGAACGAGTTGTGGAAATAGTACGACTAGTATGTGCATGCCCACCTTATCCTGAAGCACGGTCTTGACCTCGTCAGTGGAAGGCAGACCATCCCGGAAGAATATAGCAGAGTTAATAACATAGCAAATCGGGGAGGCATGCATATAACTAGGGAAGGCATCGTTCTTTAGCATGTGAGCTTCCAACCAGGTCATAGGTAAGTAAGGACCTACTAGATAGAGAATTGACAACAAGGAGCCCCCACCCCTCTCATCCTTACCTCCTTCTTGAGATCCCTCCTTGGTCCTCCTCACCAAACGGCACCAATAAGCCTTTAGAACCCCTATGCAGGTATCAAACCATGCGAGCAACGACGCAACAATCATGATGAAGCGAACAAATCCTGCAGCATTTCCACGTGGGCATGACTGTTGTATTCTCAAACACCACATCGGACCTAAGCTTACGTAGTCTAGCCTTACCTATGTAGCATAAAGTCCTCTCCGATACACGTATACGAATTACTATCCGATGCCTTTAATATGTATCCCTTCACGCTAAGCAAGCTAGTATAAGATGCCTAGCGATTGCTACTATGGTGAAGTTGCTACATGATGCCTCTAGAAAACGATATGGCTCCTACACCATAGTGCCAGGGACCTACTGTATGAGGGCCGACTAGACCTCTCTCATTCCCTCGTAGTAGAGCCGTACAGAGATACTTATTCACTCAAGTTTAAATTGGGGATGATGAAAAGTGTAAACGAAACATGCATTCTCGGCGGAGCGACGCAACTGCGACGCTAAATCTTGAACTCCAACTAGCAGCAGCCAGCTTGTAAGAAGGAGTTCATCTGATCAATCGCATCAATGTCTGGCAATCTAGTAATGGTACAGGTGCCCGAGGGGGCTAAGCCGGGTAGTACCATACAAGTAGTGGATCCTTCTTCTGGGCAACCCTTCCAAGTACAAGTACCTGTTGGGGTCTATGCTGGACAGACCTTTCAAGTACATATGCCCTCATCTATGCCTACTGTTGTAGCTCATCCTATGTACTACCACTCTTCTCTACTGTGATGTACTCCCGTTGTAGATACCATCAAGCACCCCCACAAACAGTTATAATCCATGAAAGTCAACAACAACCTTGCGATAATGGTAAAGGTGGCGGTGACGATGGATGCTGTGCGTGCTTATTGGGTAATAGGGGACTCTTTAGTATAGCTGTATTGACCTTACTCTCAGGTATGTGTGCATGCTGTACTCTGTGTGCATTGATGGATTGATTACTCTGAATCAAGTTACCCGCTTTATCCATATTTTTGTCCCACTCACCAGTGGCGAATTCTGTATGCTGAGGGTGGCTGGTAGACCCTGCACCTCAGACGTTAAAAGTTATTCAATTCTAAGTCTGTGTATATATCACTCTGAAGTCTCAATCCCTTACTCGTACTGTTGCGCTCATCAGTGACACACAATTATATCACTAGAGCGATCAGTTACAGTTTATCAGATCTCATAAAGGTACCAAGCATGAGCAGTCGGACAATAGTGGTAATACACTGGTTGAGGTTTGGTATGTCTCATAGTATGCCCAGGTAAGAGTGCCACCGTCAGCTACAGCAGGGACTGTTATCCAACTAAGGGATCCTGATACAGGGGTTAACCTACAAGTAAGCTACGACCGATTACTTTAATATGGTATCACCATACTAGGTTCGTGTACCAGTAGACGTCCTTCCCGGAGGTAACTTGCTTGTACAGGCAGTGGAAGAGCCATCAGGCATGCCCTCTACTACAGTGCAGTCAGGAACAGTGGTGTAGGTGGGTGTTAGCAGGGATCCATCGTATTGAGCATCATGTATCTTGTAGTACTACTGGTATACCCTTAACGACTGCTACTGCACCAGTACAAGAAGCCGTAATGGTGCCTGGTCCACCATCAACATATCATACGATCAAGACCTATACCTGCATGTGCAGTAATAAGTGTGGAAGACCCCTATATAGACTTCCTCCTTCTTCTCCTCAGGTCCGTGGTTTACTAATAGTACCGGATGCCATTGCTGTAAAGTGCGGTGTATATGCCCTTGTTGCACGATCCTTAGGCCACGTGATGACGACAGTGGTTAGTCGGTTGAACGACTTTATATCTTCAATGTTGTTTTCATCAACCATTTCATTGTTATTAAACTATCGACATCTATGCAATCCTGTTACCGTTGTAGGTGGTGTTTCATGTACTGCTATGGATTGTACTGTGTCAAGTATATCTCTTATAGTAGTGTCTCTTGGGTGTTCCCTTCCATGGTCAACGTCACATGGTGGAATGTCCTTTATACCAGGAATGAGGTGAACCGAGGTCAACAAGCTGGAGGCTCTTACGAATGAATTTGGCCGCATAGCGGTTGCCACTGAAGCGCTGATCTCCGCTAGGCTTTAGTGGGGTGAGTGACCCCTGACTGTACCTACCAGGCAGCTGTCATTATGCTGAAGGAAGCTATTTTATCGGTAGTACTAGATCGGGAGCAATACTTTTCCGAACTTATGTTTGTAGGGGAGGGGGTATGTCACGTATTCCTAGACCCTTCATCTTGCTGGAACTGCTTGATAATAGAAGGTTAACTCGTGCATAACAGCCCGTCTGTGAATGCCGACTGTTATTCGTGGCTACCGGGTAGGACACCTCAGTAGCGACCACGCGTGTGGACGTCAGTGCAGTCGAACTACTCCATACCACTTTGTGCAAACTCATTATCGCTGGGAAGTAGGATAGAACAGTAGTTGATCAGTCTAATAGCGCATGTTACATGTTCTACATCCCCCTGTTGTTGGTTTATCAGTATACGGCCTAATTATTGGATATTTGCAGCGTTTTATTAACCCTATTGTATGCTTGAAACTGCTGCTGGTGGTAGTGGTAATAACGCTGGAGGGTGGTACGATATATCACACCGATCACCAGTGGCTATGTCCCTGAACGCTCCATCTCCAGTACAGCCGCCTCCGCCGCCGCCCACGCGATCATCGGATCCCTTCACTAGTCAGCCCTTTCCACAGCAGGGCCTTGACGCTTCTTTTTTTGATTATGACGATGGTGGTGCTGGGATGGTTGTCGCGGATGATGATGATGATCCTCTTGCTGAGGATCCCGAGTCACCACCTGGTAGTAGTCTCTGAGGTGGATACTGTATTAATTATCGATATCAGGAGGAGCATGGAAATTGCTATACTTACAGGATCAGTGGCAACAGTTGCATAATGCCTTGAGGATATGTGCTGAGCAGATAGGTGTTAATGCAGCCCAGTTAGCGTCTGATACGATACCACTTAGCAGGTAGTTAGGGATAGGCTGGGGGAAGGGGGACTCTCTATACCATCATTATATTCGTATTGGACAATTATGGAGCTATAACAGATGTGCCACCAATGGGGTCATAGTATACATCCACCACCATGTAGGGGTAGTCAGCTGTACCTATATCACTGTTAACATGTGTTGCCTTATCAGTAGCATACTGCTATCGTAGCCAAGGTCGTCCTTGCTATCTTATTATCATCCCCTTCCTCTTCTGAATCCTCAGGTTTGATAAGGTATCAACATCTCTGCGTAACCTCCTTAAACAAGTGGAGGATTTTTGTAAACAGTTGGAGGACCAAATAGATACCATCACTCCTGAGTTTGATAGGTTCTATCGCCTAGTGCAAGGGTAAGGAGGCCATACGTCGCTAATAGGGTACATTATGCTTATCTCGAGGTATGAGGATGAAGTAAGCTCCTATAAGGCAGCGCGGCAACAGGCTGTTGAGGCTCTCGATAAGGTTACTAATGAGAGGGATCATGCACGGAAGATGCAGAAGCTGGAGGTGGGTCAACTAGTGATGGACGAGGTCACCACCAAGTAGTTGTAATTAGGCGGATACTAAGGAGAGGATAGCCAAGCTGTTGGATATTGAAGGGAAGGCGAAGGTTGAGGTGGACCATGCTCTACTTATCGCAGAGGGTGGGTACAAAGCTGTTGTAGGCACTGGCCTTGTTGGAGACAGCTAAGAAGGACCGTGATAGAGCACTGCTTAAGGTACAGTCCGAACAGGCTGATAAAGCCGCTGCACTAAAGCTAGTAGAGGTAGTAGTGGTGATGAGAGGATATTGGCAAGAGGTGTGGTTTAGGAGGCGACAGCGGCTCAGCGTGCAGCTGTTGCTGCATCAGAGAAGGATAAGCAGTTGCGGGAGACTGCTCAAAAACAGGCAGATGATGAGAGGAGGCAGCGAAGGGAAACAGAGAAGACTTTGGAGACTGAGAAGAAGGCTCGGGATGAGGTAATGACACGGTATAGATTCCTATTGAGCGTGATGGAATGATGTAGGTCGCCCAAAAGTTGGAGGATGAGAAGAAGCTACGAGCAGACCAGGACCTTAGTGTCGAGGAGTCTCAGAAGAAGATAGATGAGCTGCAGGTGAGGAGCACTCATTACACCCATGTTGCCATGTATTACTCAATGCTAGAGCGCTATCGATAAGGCTGTGGCTGATAGGGATGAGGCCGTGTCCCGGATAGAGGCTGCTGAGAAGGCTGCTGATGAGGCGGAGGATGCCCAGAAGATCGATATGCATATGGTACGGCTAGCTGGGGGTGGTGATTAGTATACTGTTGGTCTTATACAGCGACAGAAGGCAGAGGCCTCTTTAGAAGACTTCAAGCAGAAGCTTAAGGAGGCGCAGGATAAGGCAGCCCAGATGAAGGAAGCATCTGATGTACTACATCTTAACGAGTCTATCATGCATCATTATCCTGATGGTGCAGTCCCTGGATGCAGTCACTGCCGAGAGGGATAAGCTGCATACTGATCTAGAGGCGGCTCAGAAGGCACAGGAGGATCTCAACGCTAAGGTAAGGCAGCACCTGGCTGGGGCATTGGTCAGTATCGATATTTCAGTTCAAGGAAGCATCCGAACAGATAGCACAATTGAGTAAGGATGCTCAAGAGCTCCCTCAAGTGAAGGAGAAGCTTCAACAGATGGAGGCTGAACTGAAGAAGGCTAAAGAGACCACTGACGCTGCTGTGAAGGAGAAGGCTGATGCCGTGAGGGGGGGGGGGGGGGTGTACATACCTTACAGTGCAGCCGTATATGATGTTAGGATGCTGCTGCAGCTAAGGCTAGTGATAGAGCGAAAACAGCAGAGCAGTCAGCTACTGAGTCTAAAGGCCGATTAGAAGGGTAAGGGGGCGGCGGAGGAGAAGGCTTCTTGCCACCTCCCTTGGTCGTGCCATGTGTTGTTTAGGCTCCAGCAAGTGTTGTCTGGGGAGAGGCAGAAGTTGCAAAGTCTTCAACAAGAGTTGGAGAACGTCAATAATGAGCTTACCCAGACCAAACAGGTAGTATTAACCGCATGAGACGATGGTATGGAGTGTCTATTGTAGCAACTCGATACTGAGAAGACGGCTCGAGCCCAGGCTGAGAAGGATCTCAAGGCTCTGAATACTCAAGTACAGCAGAAGGATAAGGACCTTACACAGGCCCAGGCCCAGCTGAAGGCTGTACAGATAGAGAAGGAACAGTTGCAGAAGAAGGCGGAAGGTGGGAGTTGCCTTATGGGTAGTTCTTCGTCGTATATGATGATGAGCTCAGATGGGCGCAATGCTAAGGAGGATCTCACACGGCAACTTGCTGATGAGAAGAAGAACAGTGCTGCTGCAAAGAGAGATGCTGATAAGCTAGCTGGGCAGGTGGATGACTTGAACCAGAGAGTTGCGGTATGGTTCGGCTTACCATACTTCACCTACCATTGGTATGGATTTTAGGAGGCTAAGAATGAGGTTAAGGAGGCTAAGGCCCAGACGGAGGCCGAGAAGAAGGAGCATGCTCAGACATATAAGGTGATGCAGTGGTCACTGGTTATAGTGGCTTCAATGGTATTATCAATGTAGGCTTACGAGAAGGAGAAGGCTGATAGGGAGAAGGCTGTAGCCAAGGTCAACGAAGCGGAGGGCAAAGCTAATGAGGCAACTAAACAGACACAGGCCGAGGTAGAGCAGCACAAGCAGACTCAGAAGGTAGTAGTAGCAGCAGAGTCGTGGGGCTGGATGTTGCATCAGGCGTACGAGGCCGAGAAACAAGCTCGTCAACAGGCAGCAGCAGAGGCAGAGAAACAGAGTCGGGCTGCTGCTGAGGCCCAGGCTAGAGCTAATGAGGCAGAGCAACAAGGCAAGGCTCTTGATAGAGAGGTAAGGAAGATCACCATCATCATACGGAGGTATCATCATCCTCGTGTTATCCAGCTTGCTGGTTTACGGAAGCAAGTGGAAGATCTGAACCGTGCTAAGAGCGACCTCGTGGAGCAGATGAGGACTCTGACGGCTAAGTCGAAGGAGGTGTGATATTGTGGGCTTTAACATGTGTCTGAGTTTTCTCATTCAGACGGAAAGCAAGCTGAATCAGAAGATTAAGGAGGTTACTGATGCCAAGGCACAGGCGGATAAGTAGGCAGTAGCAGTGGATGTAGTGAGAATGTGATTGACACCCTCAGGGAAGCTGCAGCACAGAAGTCTCGGGCAGACTCTCAGAAGGCTACGAATGACAAGATGCAGAAGCAAAAGCAACAGACTGATGCTGATTTGGCCAATACTACTAAGTAAGGCTCTTGCTGACAATACTGGCGTTGATGTCTTTATTCAGGGAACTGGACACGCAAAAGGAACAACGGGCTGAGCTGGAGAAGCAATTAGATGCTTCCAACCGACAGAAGGAGAGGGCTGAGAGGTGATGAGTATCATCACTCGGATGAGGTTCACTAGGAATTGTCGTTAGGGCTTATGAGGATCAGTTGAATACCCAACAGGAGCTACAGAGGCAAATCGATGAGATGAAGGCTCAGCAGGCAAAGGCGCAGAAGTAGGCACAACTAGTAGAGAACGTAACGCGGTATGGTGTGACTTATTAGGGATGCCGAGATGGAGCGGAAGAGACAACATGATATGGCAGATCAGTTGAAGCAAGAGAGGGATCAGGCATTTGCTCAGCTGCATCGACAGCAGTCTTTAGCTGCTTCGGTGAGGACTGCTATCTAGAGTGTGTATTCATATCTCATCTTACTAGACTACTACTCCTCCTCCTACCGCTGCCGCTACCCCAGGCAACATCCAGTATCCAATGAATCAGCCGCAACATATGATGTGAGTGAATCTATTACTGTTTCAAACGACAGTTACCCTTCTCAGGATGCCGACGGGTTCATGGTCAGCAGCACCTCAGCAATACCCCCAGCAGCAGATGGCCTGGGGAGCATCTCCTAGTCAAGTGCAGGGAGGCTATGCAGTACCTCCTCCCCAGACTCTACCACCGACCCAGCCACAGATGATGCCATCAGTGCAACAGGCTCCTCCACCACCAGCAGCTCACAACGCTGCGCCTTCGCCGTCTAATCCACCGTCATCCACACAGTAGTCATCCGCTTCACCTATTACGACTGTCCGTGTATGTTATCGGTCAGGTCTCCTGATGCGAAGCAAAACTCGGCCAAAGCCGATACACCTCATTGAGATGCTGGGGAGTAGAGGTCGAGCTGAAGGCCAGGGCGATGAGAGCCTATTGATGCTCGGATCTCAGAGTTTCACTTTCATAGTACTATGTCAATTGCCGGCCCATTTCTCTGTTCAAGTTGATATAATTTACTAGCAACTTTTATGGAGAATTGTGTTGGGAACCTAGTGAGCGATTAATAATGGAAGTGTGCGACGAGGACTCGCAGTCTATTGATGAGGACACAGTCCATCGCAATAATAATACTTCATAATAACGGTTCACAGGTGAAATACAGCAAAAGCCCTAAAATGCCTTCTAGTCAAATGAATACAAAAGGCTCCACGTCGGTTGTACGAGATAGAATGGTGAATAGGAGTTGGTATTGAGTCAATACTATTGACCACGATGACTTCACTGACGAGGACTTCCTCTCAGATGAGATGTGCCTTACCACCGAACGTATCGGCATCTAACGAATGTATAACTCATGGAAAGCCGTGAACTAAAAGAACCTCTGATGGGCTTTGTCTCCTGCCAGTTTTTCTCTATACAAATCGAGGAAGCCATCTGAAGTTCTAGTCTTGTACCGGGTCATCTACATGCAACATGGAGATGATGTGTTGCAACGAGAAAGCGCACCTTGAGAATCTGTTAACATGCACGCGCGGAGAAGTTGTCACCACGCCACGAATTAGCGCGCTCGCCATTAGCTGTTTTCTTGTCTTTGGCTGATGATTATGATTCAATGTTGATGATAACGTCTGTCGAATGATGAGAAACTCTTCATCGATTCACGGTTGCTGAATCTCAGTGATGATAGACAAGTTGCGTCCTTACTGACGACTATTACAATATCTACGGGCTTCCATCTATCATGGATCGTGGACTAGACGATTCATCACGGAGAGGCCCAATAATAGTAAAGGCCAACTCCAGGACCTACCAAGGTTAGAGTTTATGGTAGGTAGTATATACAAAGGCGAACAGTGACAATGAGTGCTGTCGATACTAGTATCGCCTCAGTACTTCTATAAGATAATACCAATCGAGGAATTGGAGATGCATGAGATCTCAATGTAATTCCTGTCATAACTGGAAAGCAACCTCTGGTGAGACCCACCGTTTTCTATCGATGCCCTTTCTAGCTATAAGAGGTGAAAAGGATAGAAGTCCAAGACAGTAAGTGCTGGCGGATTTTGAAGTGGCATTCTCATATCATTGAATGCTACTGTTAAATGAGGTGAGCCTTTCGTACACCCAGCGGTATATATATAGTGTTTAGAACACGTCCAGGGTCTTGAATGGATACTATGACGAATACTGACAAGAATCGATTACCCCCGAGTCGTTACGAGAATGTACTATCCTGGATAACAGTGTAGCCGATGCGTACTTACAGAAGTCTCAAGGTGATCTGTTGAGCCCGTTTGGATAGACTGGTGAACATCTCCGTCAATTACGAAGCCACCAGTGGGATTAATGCAGCACGAGAGATATACACAAGCAACAGTTTGTGGACTCCATAAAGCCCCTCCCTCGAACATTAAGGGATAATCTTCAGGTTTTAGCCCATCCTGAATGCAGCTAGAGTGGTCCATGAGAAGCAGGAGAGTGTACGCTTGTATAACTAACCAGTCGTACTAATCCCATTTCATCTTATGCTCGTCTAAGAAGGATCAAAAGGGTCAGTAGCCAGAGCCGGTTGAAATACCGTGAGATACATTGTAAGACTAGGTAGCGACGTGATGGAGACGTTGATTCCCCCAGTAAGGGGAGAGTGAACGAGTAATGGTATCGACTACAGGGGGAAATCATACGGAAGAATTACATAGGTGAAGCATAGAGGTAGTTGAACAAGTTGAGTTTTCTGGTCATGCTCATCAGCGACTCTTCTCGTCAAGTCATTGAAAATAGACGACAAGCAAGGCAAGTGCAACACTAATATAACTGCCGAAGCAGCGACACGACTCCTCGAGTTGTCATTGACCTTCACGTGGTCATTGAGCGCCTTGATTAAATTAAACTCCTAAACTTTCAAATAAACCGGGTATAATATTAATTTTCTTGGTATTTTAAAGCCATGGGTAAAACGTTAACTTAAAAGGTAAAACATTAACCAAATGGGTAAAAAATCAAATTTGTCGGTAAAAAATGAATTTGACCTGGAAATGCTGTAGCTGCTCTCGGATGCATCTTTCACCTTCGAGCTCAGGATCGATACTCGCATATCCAACATGCATAGTACCAACTGTCTACCATAGTTCTCGGAAAACTGGAAAAATGAGGAAATTGGAAAACTGTTTTCCAGTTTCCTTATTTTCAACTCACGTTCTCGTTACCACTCCTCTGTTCCATCGTACTACTGTGCAACGTGTGTGATTACAGCTCACGCAGCTTAATTTATCCTCACGGGTTCAATGTTGCCTTCGTCGATGATGCATTCTAACATAGATCCAGCTACTCTAAACACAACGCTTATGAAATGTTAGCGACGGTGAATGCTCGGCACCAGTAGTAAATGAAGTGAGCAGAAATGGTATACGTCGCACATGACTCAGCCTAGAGCGCTATCATCGAGTGGTTCACCACCCAACACGGGTGTCGAAGCCCAATAACAGAGAGTTCTATTGAATCTTGAGTACTCGCCATGAATGGGTACTGTATAGACGAGAATTCTGTACGAGTATAGACATACGAATGGTGTCGGGGGCAGCAACTGCGCTGTTTACTGATAGAAGCAGAATGCAGGAAGTATAGAGAGGTACTGACTGTCGAATGCCCAGAACATCACAGATGACGCTCTTGGGCACTGCAGGGCCAGACGACTCTAACCTCAAGGAATCGACTAAATGTTGTACAAATATCGATAGTTACGTTTTCAAGGTGGTAGCGGTGGCGGTGGTGGTGGTATGAATGATATTATTAAAGGATGTACAGGAGTGTTACCAATGAATAGAAATAAATAATGCCGAGGAGGAAAGGGCCCGTGAAGGAGCATCTGATGATGATGATAATGATGATGTATAGATACCGATACTCACCTTTTAATGCTTCACATAATGCCACAACCGCTACCCTCAGAAGATGATGACGTTTTAGTGACTCCATAGGGATCCCCTCGTAAAGGACAGGGTACAACTCGGCCGATACACAATCTCCTCCATTCTGATGAGATGATGAAAGAAGACTAAAGGAGGAGGGGGAGGAGGGAGAGTTATTATTACCATTGTGGCGACTCCTCGATGAATGGAAGTCATAATCTACACTCGCATCCTGAACACCACCAGCTCGTTGCATTAAAGGCCGAATACCCGCAGCGTGTTGGAACATAAACTCACTAACGTCGTATCTAATGATGAAAGGGGATGATGACCATTAGTGACTACGAGGAGCACATAATGTACTACATTCTCCCATGGGCACATATCCAACAATCATTCAACTTATTATGCCGTTGTACTTGACATGTGGTAAACTCACGTAAAGGTCCTCCTCCTCGAGAGGAGAAACTCTTCATTGAATATCCTCTTGATGGATCTGATATGAGGAGATGACGACGACACTCAGACCGGCACGATGGATGACTCTTCTGGTCAGCGGCTTCCACTTTAATCCTACACACAGTACAAAAGGTCTTCACTTGAGAGCACACCTGATGATGATGATGACTGTAATGATCATTATCACTACATAAGAAATACATCATCGCATCCTGGGCATGCATCACAGATGACCCCCTCCCCCCTGTCCTGGTCTATTGCTGTCGCCTCTGCCGTAACATCACCGGACACGTCTCGGACGATATTTGAAGGTGCGATACTGCTCGAGAGGCATCTGCTTTTATGGTCTAAAAGGAAGCGACTACCCGCATGAGGCCATCATAGACACTACCCAGCCCATCGTGAGGAGGCCCTACACGTCTATTGTGAGTACCGCCACCAGCATCAGCTGATCGAGGTGATAGAGACCCTGTATCCTCCCGATCTGATAATAGAAGGTATCCTCCTCGTAATGAACAATTGACATGTACAGTACCGGGGAATAGGCTCTCCTCTCCCTCCTCCTCCTCCTTCTCTATGTGAGGGCTGCTACCTCCACGATGATGCTCATGATGGGCATCGATGCTATTCCGTCGACCATAATTGAAGTAGTGCATACGATTGTGGAGCATATTGACAGTTGTATGACCTCAACTGGAGTGTAGTAACGAAAACGTAACTAACGGCAATAGGGACGGGGGAGGAATATATCTGGACCCCCGAATCGAGTCAACAGTAGGAATGACATCAGAAATGGTGTGAGTGAGATTGATGATCAACAATAAGGCCGTCTGAAATGATGAGTAATGAGTCCTGCGATTGTTATACAATCCTCAAGTACTGCCCATCGAGGATCAAGAGGCGTTGTTCATACCAAAGGCCCTCATAGGGGAGCATCTAATGCTCTCGGATGGCCATACGTCGGTGGAACACGGCTGATCCATCTTCATCTTCATCCATCACAACTATGTCCGGTACACCTTATCAGAGACCGTGCTGTGAGTCGTCCCACAGCCATGCTCCATAATGGACCAGTAAGTATCCAGATTCGGTCAACTCACGCAGCCTCGATATAGCTCCTGCCTTACTTCAATCATCCCCGGGATTCCCCTCAAACACTGTGCAACAGCACCTCCTCGTTACCATCTGACGTATTAGGTACGAAGGACTGCACATAGTATGATGAACTTGGTGCAATGCATCATGAGGTAGGGTCCATGAGATATGCTGTACTAATGGCTGAACTCGTCAAGTAGTCCCATACTGCTGAAGTAACGCAAGAGTAAAGGTAGTCGATACGAGAGCTAAGTATCATGGAAAATGCTAGCCATTACGTGGCATGATCCTTGGAGGGACAAAGGATGATGAGCAGCAGAGCATTACATGAAGAGGACAGTAGGTACTGATATAGTCCCATAGGAGTACCCGAGTATACCAGACAACATGAAGAGCATCTATTTATCAGAAGGAGGAGGAGGAGGATGTGAAGATAATGAACCTAGATACATCGCATCATCATTCTTGGACTCGGCTAATACTACTCCTATTCCCACTACGGCGTTGTTTGGCGATTGTTCCGGAATGGTTACCATCAGTAGTCTTCTTGAAGATAGGCTTATAACTCCAACCTAATGGTGGTCTTGTCTTACCCTCATCCTCTTGAGACTTCCACCCCTAGGCAGCAAGAATGGCAACGGCACAGGGCAGCAGCAGTAGCAGTGACTGACATCAACATTAGTATCGAGTTGCTTTATGATCATATCTGTCCTATGATCGAGGTCTATCTTGGTCATGATGTCAATAAAGGGCTGAGTATTAGTATGGGAATGAGATCATACTATTTCACGTACCCTAACGAGATAATCAATAAAGCCCAATTGGGATCGGGGTAGATTGACTCTATCTCTGTCACATAGTGGTGATACAGGAACTACCACACAGTAGGTGCAGCAGTAACGATGGTATGATGAGTACTACCATGTAACTGTTTCTCGAGATCCCCTTGTTTGAAGAACTCCTCAGCCAATCGAAGAGATAGTTCATAATGCTGATCCCATGGTAGACAGGTATGACCGATATCGGCAGCCTATTATCATAATAATCATCATCAAACCAATACCGACTACACATGTTATAGGGCTACTTTAATGCAGGCCTTGAAGATAAGCAGCCGCTCGTCAGCATTCATATGGTCTTGAATCACAGTCCTGAGAGTGAAGTCATCAGCAATCCGTCGTCACGACTAGTTCACCAAACCAGATAAGACTGGTAGCACCTGAACTCCGAATTACGGACTAGTAAGCGTAAATCAGTTAGTGCGGCAAAATGTTTAGCCATATCGGTCGCCAGGATGAGCTCAATAACGAAGGACCTGAACATTATTAATGATGGGGGCAAGTAATGAGCTACAAGTAAATACCTGAAGCCTTTCCGTTCTTCCCTGGTAAGGTTCTCAATGATGTTACACTCATGGAAGTCCTCCATCATCTCGAATGCTGTTGCTACATGAAACTGTTCTAGGACTGATCTGTCGTTATATCTACTACCAGGTAATCACAGCCATGTAGATGCTCAGATGTCTTTGAGTACTACCTCAAAGCGAGGCGATCACCCGTCTCTACGTAGAAGCCATTATTCTTACCACTATGACCAACATCATGACATATACAGGCTACAAGGTAAGCTGTATGGTCCAATGCACTTACTGGCATTCCTGTAGCCCGGAGGAGGTAGTTACCATGAGAGGTGACCTATAACGAGGGATACTCGCCTTTCTAGGTGGTGCCCATGTTGGTAGCTCTACCTGGGCTGCATGGGCTTGGTTATGATACTCCACCTCAGTGTATGTCCCCGATATTCGGGTTAAAAAGTTTCTGAATATATCCCACTCAATCCTAAGAGCCCCGAAGGCCAGTACAGATGCCAACTAAAGGAGGATTACCCATTGGTGATGACTAGAGCCACCATTACTGTGGTAGTAGTAGTAGTACCTGACTGCCTATCAGAGGTAGGATGGGTATGTTGGATAGATGGGTCTCCTGCAGCTCTATGAGGTTGAGGTTGAAGTCTTGGCCGACTGCCTGGGTGGTAAGTATGAATAGGGCGAGTATCGATGCTGCTCACCTCAAGCATAGCATAGGCCTTTGCTGGGATATCTCCCATGTAGGACGAGGTAGCGTTCAATGTCACTAAAGAGGAGGAGAGGACGACATGAAAGAATGAGAAGCTGCTGCTTCTGCTGCTGCTGCTGCTGGGCTAGGTGTATTTTGTGGTATCCATATGCTTTGATGATGATGCCTACCTTTGCCACCCGTCATTAGAGTCCACTCCTTGTCTAGTTGATTCGGGGTTGAATCCTGGTTGAGTAACTTACAATGATTGTTGAGGAGATAACGAGTGAGATGAGGGTTAGGCTCCCTGACTTCTACATGGTTTATATACTCTACGAATTCCCGTCTAGTCTCCTGACGTGTTGATGCAGCACTACTCGCTTCATCATCGAGTACCTTCAACACAAGGTAGGTAGAATGGATGGTGCCAGCACAACTCACAACTTTATCAATACTCGTCCTCCTCGATAAGATCGTTACTGAGTCTCTGATGAGTGAGGTAGCCT